TCAGGACGCCAGGGTTACACCCCTACTCTTTTCGATAGTAAAGCCCTGGGATTTTTAATGACCACAGAGAGTCAGGACCTCAGTTTTACGTCTCATCTGAAGGATGGCGCCTTTTTTTTACAGTATTGTGTCCCCGTCACTATACTGGGGCATTAGGACCCACAAGACCGCAGGGTGAGCGCCCCATGCTGGCCCCACTAACACATCTTCCAGTAGTAACCTTAGTTTTTCCGAGGAGGTCTCTCATCGAGGTACTGGCCAGGCTCACACCTGATTAGCTTCAGTGGGTTGCCAGTTGTGAGTTTCTGGGTGATATGGCCAGTGCAACCATTATCCAGTGCAGAGTCACAGGGCTATGCAATGGGTACAAGGCGGGATACACCCTGGATGGGATGCCAGTCTTTTGCAGGGCACACACAGAGAAACAGGAATACTCATTAACACAGGGACCAGTTTTCCAAGCCAATTAACCTACCAAACATGGAATCGTGGGGCGAACATCCAAATTCCATGCAGGTAGCACCGCAAGAAATGCTAACCCCTGTGCCACAGAAAGTTTCAGAAGGAGCACACATCTATTTATTAATGGGATCATTTTGGACCAGTGATTTGAGTACCACCCAGAGCCCATAGCTGTGCCATCATTAATAATTAATCACAAGCTGTATGCACTGAGCCAGGGTCAAATGGATCCTATTTCTCCTGAGAAAGTACACACATTGCCATTCCTGACTTCTAGGCAGTGTACCTTAAGAAATGGAGATGAAGCTTCCTTTGAAGTTTCAATGTGTTTTTCTTGACAGATGACATCAACCTGCAGTGCCACAGCCATGATCTCAGGAACATCAGATGCCAGTGGAGAGACAAAGAGGCAACGAGAGACACTCAGTTCACTCTTTATTACAAACAAAGTAAATGGTAGGAGCTTCATGGTGCATTAGCATTTAAATATTCATCCTACGTCTTCTCCACACCATGAATGATCGATCAGTTGCTATTAGATCTTGTCTTAACCCCCAATTTGTATTTGCCCAGTAACTGGCTCCTAGTTTCTTAATGTGCGCTCAGCATTCAGTATTAACAGGCCCTCTTCCACCACCTTCTCTTTCCCAGCAAGGGCGCACATGTCCAGAAGAAGTGCGTGCAGAATGAGACGACCTCGGACGACCCCATCGCCCACTGCACCTTTCCTGGAGAAGAATCCTGTGACATCACGGTCACTCTGCAAGCCAGCTCAACGCATCACAACAGGACATTCTTTACAGAGCCTTTCAGGATGAATGGCATAGGTAAGACAGGGTGCATGGCAGTGATCGAAGGATATGTTATTATCAGCAGAAATCGGGTTAGCTACCATGCATTAAAAATAGATACTGTTTTAGTGTATTAAAAATATCAAGGGCTTATTATAGAGCTCATTTCAACAGAAAATATAAAAAAGTGCTTAAATGGGATCTTGGATGCTTCAACCGTTGTAAACCGTTGTGAGGTGGATGCTGCACATTGGTGGTTACCTGTAAAGCGCTTTGAGTGGAGTGTCCAGAAAAGCCCTATATAAGTGTAAGCAATTATTATAATTAAACATGATGCAGATATCTAAACCAAGTTACTGATGAATGAACTGACAAAACTCTATTTGATTTGCTTAGTAGTCCACGTCTCAAAGTCTTAGAGGGCCTAGTGTCTTCTGAAATTTGTTCCAACCTAAGTTATTGAACAATTAACCTCATTATTTCCTTAGTTAGACATATTGTTCTAGGTTTTTTTCATTTAATTAAAGGTCTTGTCCCAAAAAAACACATCGGAGACTGGTTAGAAGTATTATAGAAATGTAGTTACTGAACATATTAGAGCAACTCTTTAACTAAGAGTCTGGGTTTCAAAAAAAAAAAAGAAGGTACATCAGAACATCCAGGAACTGAGGCCCCTGGTGTCGCCTAAACAAGGGATTGTGGGTGTGGAAAAGAAACAAATAATTTGTCTCACTTAAAACTGATGGATGAATTAAAACTGAATACTAGATGGGTTTATTTTGAAACCGAGAAAGTGGAGGAAACCTTGCACTGGACCTTCACAAGTTCTCCTTTTCAAGTCTTTCACGTGTTTTTGTCCCCTGATTTACTTAGTAAGGGGCTGGCAGGTAAGGCCTTTGCTGCCATGGTAACGGAGTCTTGTGCTTTTGTCATCAGTCCGCACCGACCCTCCGAGGGCCCTGACAGGGGGGATCCGGACAGGGTGGGTGTGGCTACACTGGGAACCCCCCCTGTTACAGTTGGCCGACCAGCTGCAATACGAGGTTCACTCCTCTCTGTCGGCGGACTTGCAGAGAAAGGTAGGGCAGGGCTCCGGTGGAGGGGGAGCCCCTCAGGTTGTCATTGGTTTCAAACTTAACTTTAAACCAATCAAAGAGATATGCACTATCTCTTTCAAACAACGTATCGTACCTATCTTCTCCCTTATCTTGCTGCAACACTGTTGCACTGACTTCTTGGTTGCTAAAATGTTGTCTGTCATTGTGTTGTTATGTTGGGAGTGTGCCATTAAACACATTTCCCCAATGGGATAAAATGGGGAAAAAAATCAACAGAATCTGTTAACCATCAGTCCTATAAATCAAGCTTCAACGTGAGCCAAAACTCAGCCTGAAAGAGGTAGCACTCTTTACCTTTAGCAAGTAGCACTTTGCAACTCCTATGCATCTTACTTGCTTTTTTTGTGTGATTAGAAGTGAATTACTGAAGCATTGCTAATTGCTTTCCTACGTTTTGCAGCTAATGGCCCTGGAAACCTCCAACACCAGCGCCCTGTTGGATTTGCCTGCTGGGAACACTTATGACATACGGGTCAGGGCCAGGCCCAATGGGCACAATTACAGTGGCTCCTGGAGCGACTGGTCTGAACCGCTTACTGTGGCAGTTCCCTCTCGCCTCGGTGGGTCTGCAGTTACAATACACCTCACTTACAACCTGCTAAATTGGAAAAAAATTCCAGATCTTTCTGTTGATTACATTGATTGGTGACCTGTTTGATAAGAGTTTTTGGTTTTGTATGCTCTATTATCCATTTTTGAACATCTGTGTACTGATAGTTTCAGTACAGTGCACTGTTGATGTTTTTATGTCTTACACATTTTCAGGATACCTACTGATGGCATTCATCCCTTTAGTGTTGCTTTTGATAGCAGCCGTGTTAATTGCTACATGCTCAAAATGCTTAAGGTAAGTTCCCAGCTCCTTAACAGCATATGTTCTCCCCAAATTCCAGTACAGATTTCACAGCACATGGAACCAACATATTAAATTATCCATTTGTTTTTCAGTGCCCTTCTATTATATAATTTACCCCCACTCGAAAGATTCTAAATTAAAAATGAATAACATGTTGCTTTTATGTGTTTCTCACAGTCCAAAGTTAAATAATTCTCATTGTTTCTCTGAAGAAAGATCAAACTGCTGCTTTGGCCACCAGTTCCAAACCTTGACAAAGTGCTGGAAAGTTTCCTGATGGAGATCAACAAGCAGTTGGTAAGATAACAGGAAAACAAGAAAAAAAAAAGCTGCCGTCTTACATCAGACTTTTAAAGCAGTGCTCTTCATGTCCATACAGCCAAGATAAATACAGCAGACTTTAACTTTCGAGAATGAGGCCTAACCTGGCAAAACCAATTGCTGGACCTGTCAAATCCCAGACCAAAACCTAGACCAGGTCTGGGTATGTTGAGACTGAAACTAAGACCAAGACTGATCCTATCAAAATCTAAATTGTATCCAAAACCAGTATATTTAATTTGAGACCCATGTTGAACAATTTAATTCTTGTAAAAATAACATCAGGAAATACCTTAAAAAAGTTATTGACCTTGACAAAGAACATAAAGCACAAACTACCATTTTAAACAAGAGCAAAAGAGTCTTTGCTTCAGACACTTTTTCTTTAGGACAGGAATAGACATCACTACGTTCTGAGTTTTTTAACATATTACAGGAAATGTATTTTGTGACAGAGGCAAGGGCTTTTAGAATACACCCTTACACGGGATAGCAGTGCGAAACCTTATGATATACACTCAGCAGGTTATGTCTGGGTGCCAATTTAATAAAAACAAAACTATCTGGGTAGAAATGTGGATTGAGGTAACACAGAGCTGTCATGAATAAGACCCTAGTGTCTTGTGCTGAGCACTACCAAGTCCAGACCTGCTGAAATCAAGTAGGGAAAAAGCCAAAGCAATTGTTTGAAAGCACAATTCGGAATTTTATAACCAGAAAATGCCCTAGCACCTTGACTTTTAACCATTGGAAGCATACAAATAAAATTTCAACTGAACTAATAAGCAAGTTTGTATTACCTAAGCAAGCGCACAGGATGTTAGTTTTTAAAGCTTCATAAAGACTTGAGAGTTCAAGCTAAATCTTTTTAATTGTGTTACAGCCACCGCAGTCATTTAACGACAAACTCTGCGATGATGAGATCACTTCGTCCCCTGTGGAGATAGTGTCCGAAAAAGAATTGCAGGATTGCATAAAACTGCGAGGGGATCAACCTTCTCCTCCCTTCATTGCTCTTGGACATGGCCTGGGGTCTCCATCAGAGGGGAAACCTCAGGCAGACTACATTGACCACCTAGACACCACTGAAGACTATGTAGTCCTCGACACAGAGAACTTCATACGATGTCTCCAAGGCAACGAGTATGTGTATGAGGAAGAGAAGTTGCTGGGCACCTGCTTCACCCGCAGTAATCCCACGCTGCAGTGTGAACCCTGCCTCTGCACCTTCCCAGGACCCCCCCAGTCTTCAATCGAAATCCTCAACCACTCCTATCTCCTCCTGGCCAAGTCCCAGTCCGACATCCAGGCCGAGCTGGAGCTCTTGGAAACAGCCAACCAGTACACCAACCTGAACCCAGCAGGAGAGGTGTTGTCACAAGCCAGCTGACTTGATCAAAAACTTGCAAAGTTCTTAACTCTGTCACAGATGCTCAGAGTATCTGCAAGTCTCATCCGGTTAACATGGGGAAACTGTTCTGAAACAACTGTATCAGCTGTTGTTTTAAACCTCTAGCCATGGTTAAATAGCTTTGGCGCTCTAAGAAGCGGATTTATTTGAGGCTTTAGGTAATCCAAAGACTCTTCCCTCAGTGATTTCTACTCCACCTTGTGGAGAGGGTAGGAGAGGTTACTACCAATGTTCTATACCAGAGCAAAGATTCAGCCACTGTTACCATCAGGATTGCCCTTATCCTAATAGAAATGACATGAGTAACATGGTTTGAAGAACACAGCAGTTAACAGATGCACCAGATGTCAAATTAAGATGCTATTGGTCATGGGACGGCCTGAAAGTTTAGGCACAAGCTACTCTATGATACCATTCTAGCAACATGTGCACTCCTAGAACTTCAGCAGAACTGAAGGGTTTTTAATATGTGGACTTTACACAACAGGTCAAATGTTTTTTATGTAAAAACAATGGTTATAGTTTTAGAGTTTATACTATTGTTATTTTTTAGCTATTATTTTCCTTCCCTGTTTATATGGGTATCACACTGTAAAAAGTCTGAGCTGCAACAGGTGTAAGGGGAAAACAAATCAAATATTTTTTTATTCCTTGGATACTGCCAAATATGTAAAATGTCAAATACCTTTTAAATAAACTATATATAAAATGTAATGACAACAAAAGCATTCCTAAGTACTTGATAAAACAGCAAAATATTACATTAAAAATACTCAACATAAAATGTCACACACACTTGAAAGTAAACGATTTTGCCTCAGACTACTGTTTAAAATCTGCACAAATCATACATGATCTGAAACGAAAATGAACCAGCTCAAATTCACTACAAGATTGGTGCAAAAGGCATCAATAGGAAATCTATAGGAATGATCTGAATTAGGGGAGGCACATAACACTGAGTTACCTCGCATAATGAGGTGCTGTTTAGGCCTTTATTCAAACTTTACCTCTCATACACACACAAATTGCTCTCACATACACACAAAATGCTCTCACTCTCCATTTTACCTCTCACATTCATATAAAATGCTCTCACACTCTCCATTTTACCTCTCGCATACCCACAAAATGCTCTCACATATACAGAAAATGCTCTCACATTCACAGGTTTTACGTCGCACATACACGTAAAACACCTTCACAACATGAACGTGAGGGACAAAACAGAAATTAACCTCAACTGCAACGAGCACTAAACCAAACTGTAGCTTTAATTAATAACATCTTAGCCACACGAGAAGCAATAGCTTTATTGTCATATGAGAGCATTTTATATGAATGTGAGAGGTAAAATGGAGAGTGAGAGCATTTTGTGTGTATGCGAGAGCAATTTGTGTGTGTATGAGAGGTAAAGTTTGAATAATGGCCTAAACAGCATTTTGCATGTATTTGTATGCAGACGATCAAACTTAACCATCATAGTGTTCCCTTTTGGAACTGTACATAGTATGCATATACAAGTCCACCTTGAAGAAGGTAATATCCAATATCTTTATTACACATGACAAATCTAAAAAGTTGAAGTTAAAGTTAATCATACACACCCTTCAACAATAATCTTGTTCTTGCTTAGTTAAACAACATAAGGTCATAAGGTCATAAGGCCAAATACAAGAAACTGCAATCCAAGGTTGCTTACAATCTTTATTTTCTACCAGCAACTTTAAATCCAGTAAGCTAATGGGTCAAAGTGATGATTTAAAACGATCACCTGATCAAAAACAGAATTCTAAATGCGATTGAAGATTTCATTTCATGCGACTTAAAAGAGAGGGTGTAGAACTAATAGTAGAATAGGTGAAAGCCCTCTTGTAAGCCAAGATGATATGGGATTCCACTGAGGTAGTTTTCCACAGCCAACCACTAAAAGGACACACACCACAATGCAGAATCTCTAAAAGCATTCTAAGCTCAGCTCTGTTGGAATGACATGCTCCTGCGAAGCAGAGCCCACAAGAATACACATAACTGTCCTCAATTTAGCCCTGTTCTTCACGAATGGCACAGGTTGTAAACACCAAAAATAAACACGACGGTTCTTCCACGTTTATACCGCAGGAGCACAGAGCCTGAATACTGGCCACAGCTGCCTATAAATGTTCAGTTCATGGAAGACAAATATAAATGATGACAAAGAAAATTAAAAGTGCTTTGAAATGTTCATCAATGGGTGTAATATGCAGCCAGTAGCAGTTTTTCTGGTCTAGGATGGACTCTCTTTTCTTTCAAATGGTGCCAGTACTGGCTGTGCTTGGGGAGGTTTTTCCTCCCAGTGTCGCACCAGCGCCCCCTGGTGGCTAGTCCTCCTTCAGTGCGTAGAGCACATCGTCCTGACTGACATTGAGCCGCACACGGAGCAGCAGGTCGCAGCGGCTGGGCTCCAGCAGGAGCAGGCGGCAGGCCCCCAGCCGCAGACAGGCAGCCAGGCCCTCCGACAGGCTGACCGGCTGCAGTCCCTCCACTCGGCACAGGGCCCGGTGCTGCTGGAACACCTGGAGAGAGGGGCACGCCACAGGGTCAGAGGCCTTGCGACTGGTGCAAAACAGCACAGGGGAAAACAACGCCACTCTTCTGAAGGGATTTATCTAGCACATTCTTTTACAACATGCGTTTCCCCTTTCTGGTCTTATCATATCATACTGATGAAAAGCCTGTCCAGAAGCTTATTTTGTTTCATCCATTTGACTTGGGAATCAACTTGTTGCAATTTGGCAACTTTTGTGTCTTTTTTATATTGCCACAGAGACCAGTTTCAGGTGCTGAATATCAGCTGGTAGTGTACTACATCCTGATGCTGAATGAGTTTTCATGAAGACTCCAACCTGCTGCATTTCAGTGAAACAGCCTGTTGCCTCCAGACCACTGTTCTGATCTTGTGTTTGGTGGGAAAAAAACAACTTCTATGTCATTCCTCCTGATTTAGCTACCACAGGCTATCTTCTGAAGATGGAAAACAAATTTAAACCTGGGATGACTTTTAGATATTTTTATAGCTGTATCTAGGTTTGCTGACATGATGTTGATAACCTTTAACCTTAGATCATCAGACTAATTTTAAGCTTTCTGCAACTGATATTAATCAGGTAACTAACAAAACATTAAAAGATTAAATTGACATTTCCTATATTTTCAATATGGTTACAACATCATTACAGAATAAGAAGAAATACGAACATTGGGTATTTAAAAAAAATACAGAATTATTTTTTAGTTATGCTACTGATATATTTAACTTATTGTTAGATATATATAGATATTAGATGAAGTTATATTTCGATTGATTAGGTGAAGTTGTATATGGATTGATTAATATCTAAAACTTTCTACCTGCTGGAAAGTGGCTTCCTCCAGTCCCAGCCTCCGGAACTCTGCGATCACTGCCCGCAGAAAGAGCTGCTCCTGCAAAGATGCACACCTGCCGGACACAACAAGCAGGTCAGGCAGGGAAAAGCTTCTCCCGAAGGAATCGACCAAGAAGTGTATTCGACTGTTCAACTATTTATTGCAGGGTTAGAAATAAATATCCAAAATATCAAAAAATAATATACAGGTCAATCTCAATTTTTGTGGCTGATGCATTCATGATAAATGCTGCATCAATCAGACACGTATAAACAAAGAACTAATTCTCCATAAGAATGCATGTTAATAGGGTTGTGGGGGAGGTGTGTTCCAAGAACAACCCCATCTTGAAGCCTGAACACACAAATAAAAACAATTGGGCACATTTCTGCTTGTAAAATGGCTCTATGGTTGCACTAAAAGTTATTTTTTAAACTAGGTTTGTTAATGTTTAGCAACGTTTTGTTGAAGATGCTCTTTGCAGCTGGGACATTCCAAACCAAGAAATTAAATAAATCACTTGGCAAACATACTTGCTTATGGCTTCCAAGGCAACCTTTATCTAGAATACATGGACAGTGTAATGTGTGCCATTTTTATTTAAAAATCCCCATCTGTTGTGTTTGACTGATGAAGAAAGTGAGGGGCAACTGCTACCTGTCTGTCTCTTTCAATGAAGGTGAGAATAATGAACAAAGAATAATGAAAAAATGCAAAAAAATTGGACAAAATAATTAACCCAGACCAATCACTGATAGTATGAAATGAAGTGTCTTGAGATGTGTGCAGAGTCTCGATCAGTCATTCTTACCGTATGGCAGTGATGTAGGGGGATGAGAACATCTCATCCAGAGCCTCCATGACATGGCTCATGCCCACCAGCCCAGAGCTGCTATTTCGGTTGTTGGAGAACTCGCAGATCTCAGTGGCGCGCCGGCAGATGTCCAGGCAGCGCCGCGCGTCCCCGGACAGAGCAGCTACCTGCAGTCCCAAATAGCCGAGTTATATAACGGCAGAGTTAGAGCAGAGCCCAATGTAATGTCCTCCCCCAATGGCAGAGTTAGAGCAGAGCCCACTGTACTGTCCTCCCTCAACAGCAGAGTTAGAGCAGAGCCCACTGTACTGTCCTCCCCCAACGACAGAGTTTGAGCAGAGCCTACTGTCCACCCCTCACAGAAGTATTACTACTTCTTATTACTAAGAGACGTTTCAGTGTGGCTGAAAGGATAACAGATTTTACCTGTTTTAAAAGTCATTACTTTCTTTCTTTTCAAAAATATAAATGTGATAAAGGGATATTTTAGCTTCTCGTGTAAGAAAGCAAGAATAGAAGAAAAAGAAAAATAAATCTGAAGTTTTCTTAACAGCGTTTCAGTCATTCATACAGCCTGTGATCCCTGAAGGCATCTAAAACAATGCCCACCTTTCTAGAAACCAGCTGCAGAGCATCTTCCTCGAAAGCTCGGACCCTGTTAAGACGGGAGGTTATGATTTGCTGGAGTTGTTTAAAAGTGTACGGCTGGAAGGACAACCGGGTCAGGCCCTGTGAACGATGACAGACATCATGTCAGACAGGCAAGGGCAAGAATTAAGCAGCTTGGGCTTTTCTGGTCAAGAAAACGCCAGACACTGATACAAGTACCTTACTTTATGTCATGATTTAATTAATCCTGCAGCAGAAGATCTATTCATTAGGGAATGAAATAAATTACATTTGGTTGTATTCATAAAGTATCTATCATCACACATGATCCCACAGTGCTTCATGTATAGAAGAGGATTAATTTAATTTAAATTGCTTCACCCACTTTAGTGACACAAGGCTGCCATTATGTGCCAGCAGCCCAACTAGCCCCTGAGCAAGGCCCTTAACCCCAACTGCTCCAGGGGCGCTGTACAATGGCAGACCCTGCGCTCTGACCCCAAGCTTCTCTCCCTGTCTGTGTGTCTGTGTCTCCATGGAGAAAAAGCTGGGGTATGCGAAAAGACGAATTCCTAATGCAAGAAATTGTATAGGGCTAATAAAGAAACATTATTATTATTATTATTAACTATACAGCTGGTCAGGTGGAGGAGCAAAAAAATACTTCATCAATTGAAACCAGGGTTAATATCCCTGTATTTATGAACCATATGATGGGATCTGGGTTTAATGACCAAGAAGTCAGGACTTTGGTTTAATGTTTTCCCTGTCACCATACTCTGAACACTGCTTTGGAAATTCTGATCAAGAGGGAAGAGTGACAGCTACTGGACCATCAACCCAACTTATATAACCAGCTGTTACTGGTTGTCCTTAGAGGTCTCCCACCACAGCACTGAGCACACCCTATTTTGCTTAGTTGTCTAAGATTCTGAAACCTGATGAATCAGGGCACAATTTGATAAGACTACTGTAATTACTTTAACACTCCTTACTTCAGCATGAGTTAAAATTAAGGTAACATCATTTCTTTTCTCACATCCATCCCACCACTGCCCACTGGTGTCCATCCCATACCAGTCTGCTGGCCACACGGTTGATCATGATCCTCTCGGGCAGGTCCATGGTATTGGCGATGGCTAAGACCACCAGCTTGGCGTGTCTGCGTGTGGGCCAATCAAACAGATTGTACATCACGTTCTGCTTCCGGGTCCATAGAAGATCCAGCTGAAGGAGGGGGAGGGGGGAGGAAGGCAAAAGATAGAAGACTTCTTCATATTGATGCACGAAGAGAACTTACAAAAGTACAATACTTGCATAAAACCTTATATGTTACTTTCAAAAGCTAGAATTTACATGATCACTATGGTATCTAATTAATAATAGCGGTAGTCCTCCCCTAAAAAAAATAAAAATCCTACTTTATCATGCAGTGCACTTAATTTTTCACAAATAAGTTTCATTTTAAGAATTCCAGGGCTAGTAATTCATTTACTTTGAGTAGCCTGCTTGCGGTGCTGTCAGCAAGAGACATGCCAGTCCTCCCACTTGGTGGAGCTGCTGGGGAGTGTGCTAAGTGCCATATGATGAATGGCTCTGCTATCAGAGGAGTATGTCTATGTGTCACCCAAGCAGTATGGAATTCACTGCTGGACAGCCAAGTCTGATGATTCTAAATTACACCGGTACGTCCCCCAACCCCTTCTTCACCTCATCCACTAAAAGCACAGTCGTCTCTCTCTTGGGTGCAGGTGTACTGAATCGTTTCTCCAGCAGTGAAGCTGCATGGTCAGCAGTGGCTTTTTGGTCTGTCAGTTTCTGCAAAAGAGAATCAGCATTACAGGTGATGACAAACTCACATCAATCAGAGATCTGCTTGCAAAGGTGCCAGGAATAAAAATTAAAAATTAGGAATTAAAAATTAGGAAAAGCAAAGCCATTCATCTATAAACTGACAAACTTTTGGATCCTTGCAAATTTAAAGCATACTGTAAAATCAAAAACTCTACTGAGCAGTTGCAGTAAATTATAACAACTAATACGAAGTATTCTTAAATCTTACTAATTTTTGCTTCATTCTCATACTGTCAGATAACATGCAGTGCAAGTTTCATAAAAGTTGTCCCCCCACAAAATTGTAAAAAGGATATGGGGTGTACTCAGAACGCAAGAAAACTGGATTTCATCCGGAAAGCAAAAACCTCACAAAACATGAGAATGCAAAAAAAACTCCCATAAAAATCACGCAAGTATCTTTGGGTGCCCCCCTTCGTTATCTTGCCATGGCTTACTGGGTGGGTGCTTGTGTTTGTGACTCACTGTGCTGTGGAGTGGTTGAGCTGAAAGTTTTTCTTTAACGTTTCTCAAGCCATTTCACCTGTAGTATCTGTACATATGCCTGGTGGGGGTCTGTCATTTTCATGCCATTTATTTCAATGAAGTTGAAAGGAGGGATCTCGTCCTGATCGGCAGCGTGCAGCAGACAACGCATCACCTCATGGACAGTGGCGGTTTTTCCTGTGCCTGGGACTCCGGAGATGTACATGCACCTGTGAAACCAATTACAGAGCCGTTCGAATCAGACTAGACTTAAGATAAGGCAAAACATGTACCTGAAACAAATGCTTCTAAGCAGGAGCAATGAAAACTCTTTCTTACTTGAACCATTTCCTTAATCACATTAGACCACAAAATTTAACTAAATAATAACAATTCCTTATACTTATTTAGTGCTTTTCTAGACACTCCACTCAAAGCACTTTACAGGTAATGGAGACTCCCCTCCACCACCACCAGTGTGCAGCCCCCACCTGGGTGATGCAACAGCAGCCATAGTGCACCAGTACACTCACCACACACCAGCTATCAGTAGGGAGGAGAACAAAGTGCTGAAGCCAATTTATAGATGGGGAATATTAGAAGACCATGATTGGTAAAGGTCAATGTGAAATTTGGCCAGGATGCCAGGGCAACAGCCCTACTCTTCTCGAGAAGCGCCCCGGGATTTTTAATGACCTCGGTTTTACGACTCATCCAAAGGACAGCCTCTTTTTACAGTCCCCGTCACTATACTGGGGCATTAGGACCCACACAGACCACACTGGCCCAACTAAAACGTCTTCCAGCAGCAACCTTAGTTTTTCCCGGGAGGTCTTCCATCCAGGTACTGACCAGGCTCACACCTGCTTAGCTTCAGTGGGTTGCCAGTTGTGAGCTACAGGGTGATATGGCTGCTGGCAAAAATTTGTCAAGTTCCTCCACTGGCACAACACTTTTTACCTAGTTTTAGGAAATCCTCACCCAACTTGAATAAGAACTATCACCAGAATCTTGTACAATTACAAGTTAACAGACCGTATAAAACCCAGAGCTAAGAACACTGCATATATATATATAGTTTTGCCCAGAGGACTTACTCATTTAGCAAAGACTACTAACATAATCCTTAAACTCTGACAGAAGACCTCTACAATTTAAAGATGGACAAGCTCTGTAGGCCACTATTATAGGACATCTCAGTTAAAACAAGCTGAGTGTTCAGGTCGTCTTGTAACCTACCCTCCAGTGCCATCAATGACCTTGCTCTCCACAAAACTGTAGATGTCCTGGAACTCCTGCTCTCGGCAGGGCAGAGACTCAGGGACAGAGGACACATGCAACCTATAATCACATGGAGACACGACAGAACAAGAGAGTGCAAGCTTGTGAGTACTAATAGCATGGTAGCATTATTACATCTTAATTAACTGATACCTGAAAAAAATAACAGGCCCAATAAAGGTCTTAAGCATAAAGTGAGAGTCCAGAACTCCTTGTTTTGATGACAGTCGCTCTCCTGAAGATGACCGCTCACCTTGCTCTCGCTTCCTCCAGTATGTTCCCAGGCTTCTTGGCAGGCAGGGACCTGCTGGGAATGCTGGGAGTAGCATTGTGTGGTGTTCGAGGAGTACTGGGGGCGATCTGCAAGAGGCAAGAAGAGCATACAAACACGTCGTTTCACCTGCACTGTCTTCTGGCAATTCTTGTTTCAGATCTTAATTACATCAGCTACACCATTATACACTCAGCCAGATGCAGCTCAAGTTGTCAGTCCTTTTTACAGTGGGTGGGCTTAAAGGTCCTCTGGACTCAACTTACAGTACACACAGAATGTCTTCGGTTTCATACAGTGTCAGATAACTGACAGATAAAAGGAATCCAAGAATGGGAGAAAATTAAACCAGAAGAATTAAACCAGTCTCCCACTGTCCGTGCAAGTTACCAAAGGCAGAGCAATACACACCTTTTTACTGGGTGTCTTTCGGGGAGTTCTGGACGGAGTGCTGGCTTTGCGTCTGGCTCTGGGGGTGCAGGCCCCTGCAGCACGTCTGCTCTTCTTCTCCGCAATGCTGTCACCTTCACTGTCCGCTTCCGCCTCTTCTTCACTGCTGCTTTCCAGATCCTTCTTAGATGGAATGAACCCCTCATCTTCATCATCGTCGACATCTGAATGTGCATCCTGAACCCCATTCAATAGGTTTCTGTAAAGGCACAGGCATACAGGTGAGGTGCTAGCCCAGAACCCAAATGTACAGGCTACATTTCATCCCTGTTAGGCACATCATTGTGTAAGAAGAGACATTTGCCAAATTATCAAAATGAAAAACATGACGATCAAGAATTAACCTTGAAAATGAGTGTATAGACCTGATCGATATAAAAACAACTAAAAAAATGAATAAAATGAAGAGGTTCCATTCATTTCCAAGAGACAGCCATGACTTTTCAGCCAGTCATGCCCTTGGTTCACAGAAACTATCACTCTGCATGATGTCATGGTCAGCCATATTTATAATTCTTTCTCCATAGATGGCATGCTCCTCTGGGACATTTTTATGTGAAATAATTGGCTTTAGCGCATGCATTAATACAAGCTCCACAAATGGCCGTTGGTTCTGTTGAGAAATGTTCCAAAGAGATGCTAGGATCCAAAACAACCCTGATGGGTCAAAGATCTTAACATGCTAGATCTGTGCTTTGACAACATGATCTGCCTGAGCAGCCTGGTACTTACAACTGCTTTCTGATGCGCGAGGACACTAACATTGCAGACTTTCTCTTGGACCGGGGTGTCATGGCTGTCTGTTCTGTGTCTGCATTGTTGTCTTTTGCTTCTTCCCTGGAGAACCAAAGACAATATAAGTGAGAGCAAAGTCCCAGTACCTGAGCTAGACTTGCCCATTTTCCCCACAAGGCCATAGTAGAGTAACACAACTGATGCTCACACAGCAGCCAAACCTTACTATCTTCCTTCACAGCAGGTCTATCAGAGCAATAGAATACAAGCCTGATGCAAAGAGCTTCAGAGTTCAGATCATTGATCGAACATCCATTTGCTACTGTGAAGGACACTCTGCTTCCACTAAAACCTTCAAGTGGTAATAAGAAAATACAGCACAGGAACTGAATAAGACTTGTGTTATACAGCAATTCAATTAATTTTGTCTCTCAGCAGAGGAAGGCTCGTGAAGCAGAGGGGTGCTACATAATGCAGTTTTATTCATAGGCATTTCAATGTTAAGGCATACAAAATAATTTTGAAATGTCCAGTCCCTGGTATAACAGAAATTGTACAGTACGTACAATACTAGAATTTAAAGACCCAACAGTCCAGTTCGTACCTAGTATTACTGAATTATCACCCTTTCACCGGATTTTGCGTAGCTCACCATGTAGCAAGAAGGAAAACAAACAATGAATATTACACTCCAAGAGATTTAGAATCTTTATTTCATTTATCCCTGGTAAAGATGCACAGAGATTATGGAGATTACTACAGTCATTCAACTGATTCACAAATCATTGTTCTCTGGCACCCATACTGTTGTGTCTGGAGGTATTTCAAAAGAAGAAATACTTACTTTTTCTGCGGTCTCACAGCACTTTTCCTGGGTGTGTCCTCTTTCTTGCAGGGGGTTTTGGAAGACCTTGTCGAGACCCTCACTTTGTCCACTTCCCCATCCAGAGGAGAAACTCCAGAAGTGTCCCTGTAACAGCCCAGTGACAACTCTCACTGGCCCATCATCATCATCATTCAGTTTCCATAATACATACTGAAGTCTTCCTATAAAAATATTTCTACCTCTGACAAGGTTTAGGTTTAATTCCATGCTTAAAATTAGAAATAAATTAAAAACATTTAACTTTGAAGCCTTCGGGAGGAGTGGTGGCTCTGTGGCTAAGGATCCGTGCCTATGCCTGGAAGGTTGTCGGTTTGTATCTCAAGGCTGGCAGAGGCATCCTACTCCATTTGGCCCTTGAGCAAGGCCCTTAACCCCAACTGCTCCAGGTGCGCCTATAAATGGCTGACCCTGCGCTCTGACCCCAAGCTTCTCTCCCTGTCTGTGTGTCTCATGGAGAGCAAGTTGGGGTATGTGAAAAAGACAAATTCTTAATACAAGAAATTGTATATGGCCAATAAAGTGATCTTATCTTATCTTCTTCACTTTTAATTTTGCAAGATGTATGCTGTAAGTGAGCAACACTCTCAGCTCTTCACACAAAAGGGCCAGTATTGACTAGGCCCATCGTGGATCTACTGACAAGAAAGTGTACAGCAGAAATACATACTTTGCTGACTCCTGGTTCCGATCGGGACGGGTGCTGCCGGCAGGGTCCTGAGCGCCCTGCAGGGGACAGATGCGAACAGCGGGGGAGGTGATGGCGACTGATCTGATGGGGGAAAGGCGGACAGTGATGGCGAGGGGCCGTGGGGGAGTGGCAAGAACCTTGCTTGTCAGCTCGCTCTTCTGGTTCTCAATCTCTGTGTGAAGCAGCTCCTCCAGCACATCATCCCTGGTGAGCCGAGCCCCCGCGGACTTCCCTGGGCCTACCAGAAGACACCAGAGAGCTAAACAGTGCGAACAATACTTTGGTGAAATAGCTAAATGATATCCTGGGATTGATTAAGTACTCAATACCAAATGAGTTAGATGGGCAGAGATGTTAGTAACATTCCTTACGATCTAACACTTATTTACTTGAGGAATGTCCACTGAAATGAGTAAAACAAACGAAAACAAACATTTAAGTTCATTAAAATTTTTTGGAATCTCTTTTCCATTCTGAAATGTGAAATGAGAAATGTTGGAAGCACACCCACAGTTCTTAACTGTGTTTTTATACCTTGTTTGCTGGGGAAGTACTGACCTACAGCTTGTCCCCTCCCCAGTAAAAAACACTTATTTTGAAAAACCTTGTTTTCCCCCCTGCTGCAGGGGGATGGGCATTGCCTCTGCGTACTATTATTAGGAACTTGTATTTTCAGATTTGTAATCCATTTGTAATGTAAAAGACCATGACCGCTGATGTCGGAGAAGCCGATAATAATAATAACGCCAGCAGCTATAGTATATCACCCTGCAAGTCCCTATTGGCAGCCCAATGATGCTAAGCAGGTGTAAGCCTGGTCAGCATGTGGATGGAAAACTCCTGGGAAAACTAAGGCTGCTGCTGGTAGAGGTGTTAGTGGGGCCGGTAGGGGGCGCTCACCATGTGGTCTGTGTAGGCCCTAATACCCCAGTACAGTGATGGGGACACTATACTTTAAAAAGGCACCGTCCTTCAGATGAGAAAAATAGTAAAATAGTCCTGTCTATGGTCATTAAAAATCCCAGGGCGATTCTCAAAAAGAGTAGGGGTGTTACCCCAGCGTCCTGGCCAAATTTCCCATTGGCCCTTACCAATCATGCCCTCCTAATAATCCCCATTTATGAACTAGCTTCATTACTCTTTTCTCCTTTCCACTGATAGCTGATGTGTGGGGAGCGTTCTGGCACACTATAGCTGCCGTTGCATCATCCAGGGGGAGCTACACATTGGTGGTGGTGGAGGGGAGTCCCCATTACCTGTAAAGCACTTTGAGTGGAGTGTCCAGAAAAGCGCTATATAAGTGTAACAAATTAATAATAATATTATTATGGCAAATGACCACGCGAACCACAATTTCAAGCAAGCACTTACTGCTGAGCTGCAGCTTCTTCCGGACGCCTGGGGTGGAAGAACACTTGGCCTGCCGTCGGGCACTCAGGCCTTTTGACTGGGAGTACTTGGAGGAGGAGTGGTGGGACTCAGCCTGGCTTGAGGCTGGCACCCCCACACTCACCGCCCCAGCCAAGGCCCTCTTCATCACAGCCACGTCGGGGGTGGGCAGGCTGCCTCTGGGAGCAGGGGCCAGAGAAGCCCCACTGCCCTGTCCCACCTGCTCAGCTGTGACCGCTCTGAAGGCCTTCCCGTTCCAGGACAGCTTGACGTAGAGGGTGCCGTTGCTCTGCTCCACTGGGAAGGGGGCTTGTGGCTCCACATGTCTCACCTGGAGAACACAGAGTGCCTTCAGACTCGTCTCTCCTTAAGAAATCACCTTCAGAAAGGAATGCGGATCTCCCCCAAGCTTTGCCATGTCATAAGCCAATGCCACCCTTATTAGCAACAACATTTCACTGACTATTTAATTAAGGTTCTAAAAAGCATTTTAAATGAATTATTTTTCACATTGTAAATAAAATCCAAGTAGCAAGATGTTTTGCCCATGTTCTGATCACAAACAGAAATGTTTCATGAGATCAATTTTTAAAGTCTGAGGAAATATCCCAGATCACCTTCAACATACATGTGTGTCTGTGATTTTACTCACCTCCACAGCACCAAGAATAGTCTCCACATCTATTTCACAGTCACAGTTAGTCACGTCATACAGGAAGATCTCCTGAGGGTGGGGCGCCCTGCCCAACATCTTCCTCTTGTTAGAGGGCACCTCCGAGAATCGGGCAAACCACTGCACCTCTGCTCGCTTATTCTCTCTTTCCCTAGGACCTAAAGATGAGAGAACCATGCCATTACTTTTAACCTCATAAGTGTCTCAAGGAAAAAGAAGGGCTAAAGAAACACAATTTGCTACAACCTCACCACCTCCATGAATTTAAGCGATCTTTAAATTCTTTCAAAATACTTTCATGGTACACATGCTCTATATCAGACTGGAGAAGAAATGCCTGCCAGTGACTCACCACTGCCGTAGAGTTTGAGTAGTTTTGCAATAAAGGGATTGTCATCATCATCGCCTTCGATCAAGATGTACTGGCCGAGCTTTATAGAACTGGCTTCTGAAGTGCCTTCTGCATACATGAAAAACCCACTTGAAAAACAGAACAAATTTCGTTCAATTTAGTTTCAGAACCAATATTAAGTTTTATGTGTTAACTTAATTGAATTAACTTACTTAGCACTTTTTCTCTATGTATCTGCAACTAAAGTGTCTTTGTGGACTTCATGTCCTCCCTGAGACCTGACATTCAATTACAATTTGTGGCTTCAAAACCCTCATGGTTAGGTGCCATGATGGACTCTTCCTATGACGGACAGCACAGACAGTATGTGAAGGTAGAATGTTTAGTTTACAGCAAACAAAACATATATAACATTCCACGTAAGCCCCAATATTTTACTGCATCCCAAGTTATCATTCTTGACTGTATAAACAGAGAAAAGAGTTAAAACCTTAGGTTATGGACTTGATCCAGAAGTCACACCAATGTGATACACAATATAGTTACATCCTTTGATCTATGATATACACAAAACCTACTGTTACTGCACTTCAATAAATGTAAATAACATTGTTCTTAAATTGTTATTCTCAGTATTGTATAAATTCTCTTTAACCATTTACCCTACCACTTTAAAACTACAGGTTAGTTTGCTACCTTGCTATATGCCACTCAGTCACACTCATAAGGTGTGCCGCAGGACTCTGTCCTAGAACCCCTACTCTAGACCTGTTCCTTGAGTCACTTCCACATATACTTTTTACCTCTCGTTTTGTCATCAGATTTCTCCCTCTGGCATGCTCCTGTGATGACTTCAAGAGTGGTATGCAGAATCACCCGCTTCCTTACCAACTATTCCACACAATTCCAAATGATCAGACTATTGTAACTCCCTCTTTTGCCGACTTCCCTGTTAATACTACCCGTTCACTCCAACTCATCCTGAATTCTCTTGTTCACCTTTGCTCTTCACTTGCTACTCCATTACCTGTGCCCCTCCACTGCATCCCTGTTACTGCGATTCAAGACCCTACTTCCCTCCCACCACTCTGCTCCTGCCAAACCTGACTCCTGTATCTCTCCCTTCAACCTCCTCAGCAGTGCAATGAACTGCCAACAGAAATCCAAACAGCTCAGTCCCTGACCACCTTTTGGCACCTGCTCAAGACTCACCCGTTCAGAAAGGAGATGTGTCTTCTCAGTACTCAGCTACATACCTCAGAAGCTCAATCAGCCTGCCCTAAAAGCCTTTTGTTTTCAATTTGACACTGGAATTCTCCTACTCAACTGAAACATGGAACTCACAGCATTATTGATCCGTACTAGCACTACCTAGATAGGCATGTTGTTGTTATGGGATTTTACTGCCTCACTTGCAAGTGCAGGTTCTGAGATGCAAAAAGCAAAATAGGCAAAATGGACACTTCTAACATGTAACCTTTCTTGTGTGTCCTTGTACTAAACGATGGGATGAATGCAGTGTAAAAACACAACTTATTGATAATGGTTTTTAGTAGAAACAAGCTATCTGATTGCTAAGGAAGCCGAAGTCTTGAACTACTCACTCGTAATAGAAAAACTGCAGTTTCCTGTCAATGAGCGTAGGTTTTCCATTCCAAGTGTACACTCGCCTTTTCCTCTGCCTGGTTAGGTACCGGCTCATCTTTTTATCTCCTAAGGTGCACGAAAAGTAATAAAGCATTCAAAACTGAAATACTGAGAAAATGTGTTTTTAAATCTTGATTTTGAAGAAGAAAAAGTTTCTGAGTAAAGTTATATTATATCAATAGTGTCAACTGAGGTATTCAATTGAACAGTATGTTTAACTGCGTTACTGTCATTCTGTACATAAAAAAAAACGTAACATGGAAACGACAGTGTTAATGACATTATGTGACTGAATTTTGAAAATGATGCTCATCTTCATGGAAATGATGGTGAGTAGTCGTCAACAACCAAGAAACAGTGAAATCCATGTGAACATAAACACATTGATTCCAGATGGAACCCAGTTATTCTTTCTAGATGTTATGATTTAAAAGATGTACTTACAAAATGAATGTCTGAGCAGGAAAGTAATGCCGCTTGATTTCTTCAGTGCACTTCAGCTGATAAAAAAAGTTTGTCCAGGATGACACACAGGTAATAAACTATACCTCAAAAGTTTAAATAACGATGGTGTGATTTTCGTTGTTAAAACAATCTTTAAAACGTAATTTTCTACTAACAAGAAGTGTTTCTTGTCATTTATTAATTCTCCTAAAATACACCAGACTTCATACAGTTATACAGTTATATCACTTCCTTTACTTTATAAGAACTACCCCCACCGACACACGCTACACTTTCCCGGGCTGGGTGCTCTGTGCTCAGTGACGTCATGTCACGTGACACGAGTGCTTGAAACACACGCCCTTTGACTCCAGAAGTGTATGTTTTCTGCACCGGAAACACTTGTGTTGCGAAGTGTTTTGAGAGGACTGTAGAGGAAAAATGGCTAATCGAACTGTGAAAGACGCTAATAGCATTCATGGAACAAATCCACAGTATTTAGTGGAGAAAATTATTCGCACACGGATCTACGAGTCAAAATACTGGAAGGAGGAATGCTTCGGACTTACGGGTGAGCAGTAGCAGAGACACGTGGTAATAATTGAATAAGTAGATATGGTAAAAATACAAGTGTGAGCAGAGCGCAATTCGAGTAATTACAGTAATATCCATGGTAATACTGTCCATTAAAAAAAAAATTATAAACACACTGCTATTATTTGAGGCCTGTCTGGTTTTAATTTAATCTCTAGTCCAGATACAAAGATTTACAGCTGTTTGATCCATTTGACCAATTGTAATCCACCGTTTAGCTGCAAGCAGTATTAGCAATAGTAATTGGAAAAAATACATAAGTGAAGTGTTGTGAGTAGGTGGCAAAAACAGTTTAAATAACCTCACAGATTTCGTTAATCTGTGCCTTCATTAAAACGTTACAGTGTTTTTGTAACGTTTGTCTGCTGATTGTCTTTACCACTTTTATTTTCTATGTGCAGCTGAATTGGTGGTGGATAAAGCCATGGAGCTGAAGTACGTTGGTGGAGTTTACGGAGGGAATATTAAACCCACTCCTTTCCTCTGCCTAACCCTGAAGATGCTGCAGATCCAGCCGGAGAAAGACATCATCGTGGAATTCATAAAGAACGAGGATTTCAAGTAGGTGTAGTGCACTGAGCTGAAAGACAAGCTATGGTAAAGAGGGCACGCAGAGCTTCTAGTGAGAAACGGCAGTATGTGGTAGATGTTTTGACAGTTCCATTGTGTTTTGGAGATGCTTGTTTCTTGTTTCTTTGGAGATGCTGAGCTCACCATGCAGGTTTTATCGTTAAGTTTTCTTATAGTTTTTCTACCTTTATGCACTGGCTTGTATTCATCATTTATCATACCATGAGGTATTCTTTCTGAGGTAACATTAAGGATGCTACATTTGTATGCTATATTTTCTTCCATTTAAAAAGTTCTCGGTACTAGCCCTGCTGAGGATACAAAGTGAAAGTCACATTTATTCCCTGTAGGTATGTCCGTTTGCTTGGAGCCTTGTACATGAGACTGACTGGTTCATCAGTGGATTGCTATAAGTACCTGGAGCCATTGTACAATGACTACAGGAAAATCAAAAACCAAAATCGGAATGGAGGTGAGCTTCTTTGTTGTGTGCATGCAGTTGTTTTTAATATTTTACGACAAGGCCGTATTTTGTGGCAGCTGTTTTGTTAGAGGCATATGCCAAGTGAGATTAACTGGAGTTTAGTACTTTTTTTTTTAAATGCTTGTTCACACTATCTTGCCTTTCCATTTCTCAAGAGTTTGAGCTGATGCACGTGGACGAATACATTGATGAATTGCTGCACAGCGAGAGAGTGTGTGACATAATACTTCCTAGGCTACAGGTATGTAGTAGCTCTTTTCATTCTTCTGCACTCTTATAGCAGGCAAATCTCTAGGAATAGCAGATTAAAGAAGTTCATATCACTTTATAATAATAATTAATAATAATTGTTACACTTATATAGCGCTTTTCTGGACACTCCACCCAAAGCGCTTTACAGGTAATGGGGACTCCCCTCCACCACCACCAATGTGTAGCATCCACCTGGATGAAGCGACAGCAGCCATAGTGTACCAGAACACTCACCACACATCAGCTATTAGTGGGGAGGACAACAGAGTAATGAAGCCAATTCATAGATGGGGATTATTAGGAGGCAATGATTGGTAAGAGCCAATGGGAAATCTGGTCAGGACGCCAGGGTTACACCCCCACTCTTTTCAGGAAACGCCCTGGGATTTTTAATGACCACAGAGAGTCAGGACCTCAGTTTTATGTCTCATCCGAAGGACAGTGCCTGTTTTACAGTACAGTGTCCCTATCGCTATACTGGGGCGTTAGGACCCACAGGGTGAGCTCTCCCTGCTGGCCCCACTAACACCTGTTCTAGCAGGAACCTTAGTTTCTCCCAGGAGGTCTCCCATCCAGGTAGTGACCAGGCTCACACCTGCTTAGCTTCAGTGGGCTGCCAGTTGTGAGTTGCAGAGTGATATGGTTGCTGGCATGGCCTTACATGTCTTGACAAGTTTCTTTGATTATGATCGCGATTAAAAAGCACTTGCAGAGTCGGAGTCTGCTGAACAGGTGTGCAACGAAAGGTGTGCATCTGTTTTGCAGAAGCGGCAGGTGTTGGAGGAGGCAGAGCTGCTGGACACTCGGGTCAGTGCACTGGAAGAGGACCTAGACGAGGTGGAGACCAGCGAGGAGGAAGAGGAGGAGGAGGAAGAGAAGGTAAGGGGAACCAAGAACTCTGAACCTCGGTCTGCAGGATGTTCTTCTATCTCACAATTGTTTCCTAATTTTGTTCCCGTTTTCCACTTGGTGTTTCTTCTGTTGCGGTGAAATGCGGTGACCTCCTGCGGTCATGGCTTGCAGCCGGAGAGAGGCCAGTCTCCAGAGCCCCACCGACGAAGCTACCGCGACGTAGACAGGCCCCGCCGATCCCCCTCCCCTCGCTACCGACGCAGTCGGTCTCCCAGGAGGTAAGCGCCTCGCTCTGTTTTTTCTTTCCCAGCAAGAGTGCTGTGATCACTTCACTTGATTAAAGCTGTTGTCATTTGAACGTTTTTCTCAAGGTGTTTTGAGATCATCGGTGTGAAAATAGAATAACCATGTTTGAGAAAGTGACTCCAAAACAGCATAACAAAATCTTAAAACTTTTTATCTTCCTCTTTTGTACTTTCAGACGGAGCAGATCACCTAAGAGGCGCAGGTAATGTTATAATTTTTGAATTCCTTTTTTTTATGGCAACATTGATTAACCGGAGATGTAATTAAGTTGAGATTTTTGTAGTTACTAATTGACACTTATCACTGGCCAATTCCCAATCTATGAAATATAAATTACCAAAGTGTTATTTTGTGAAGTGATCAGACCAGTAATAAAACAGGAACACTTTGTCTACTAACAGCATATTTCTATTAATCAAGTACTTGGGTTTTTCCAGTGACTTAAAGCTGGACACTAATGTGAAGCAATAGACAATATTTTATATTGCAAGATATAACATTTTAAAAGTTAACTAGCACCTTGTAATGCTTTTATTATATCAGCGTTCGTTTACCTGCCTGTCGCTTTAGGGCAGAATTGTCAGCATCAGCCTCGATGAATAAATAGGGCCAGGGATTTGCCAGGCTGGTATTGTAATTGCTGTGGGTTTTTTGGTTTGGCTCTGGAGCAGCCCTTCACCCCGTCGTGAGAGGCATCGGAGCAAGAGCCCGCGCCGGCACCGCAGCCGGTCCAGAGAGAGGCGCCACCGCTCCAAGTCTCCAGGTACTCCCCCGTGTTTCTGCAAACCACTTCTTAACTCTTTCTCCTTTCCAGCGTAACCCTTTTGATTTCATAGCATGAATTGGAACTGATGGTAGAACTGGTTCCAAGCTACTAAGAACAGAAAGCTTAGTGGAGTCCCCTAATTTTGTCAAGGACTAGTCCTGAGATGTCCTTGGCTATAGGCTGGAGCACAGAGGTTTTCAAAGGTAATGTTGATAGGCCAATAGATTAATACATGTATGAAATGTTTAAATATAATTTCTAGGAATCTTTTAAGGCATTATGTAATACCTTTTATTAATACTTGGTAAGTTACAAGCTAAATCTCGCTTTCTGTCAATGCTTGTTTTTCACATTTCTCTAGACCTGTTCTCGCGATGTCTTGTGTTTTGCCCTTCTTTCATAAAAACAGTTAATGCAACCTTAATCTTTAATTTGGCCCTGCCTGTGTACTAAATGTATGCTTAACTTAATTCATAGATCTTTAATTGGTACTAATGTAATACTTTCCCTACTTAATTAATTGTGAGTGTGTGTAATATCCTACAATCCTAAGATGCTGTTCCTTTAAAAGCAAGCCCTGGACGTGAACATTCTGCAGAGAGAGCTGTAACTATCAACCTTCGTTTCTGAGGAAGTTTTAATCATGCAAAGAAAATATTTTCTGCTTGACACTTAACATTTTAATGACCCTATCCTGTTATGAGTGTGCCTTATGATATTTATTTTCTTCTTTGTATTGTTTCTTATCAACACGGGTATGACCCTCTTGGGCAGGTCATTGTCATTAATTGCAGTATGTTTGGTCTCAATTGATTCCTGTTTTTACCAAAGGAGAATGTCTTTGTAATTTATTTTGATTCCAGGCCATCACAGAAGCCACAGGCACCGGAGCCATTCCAAGTCTCCAGAAAGGTAAAAGTTAATTTTATGCTTAAGAAGAAAATTGAAGACTGAATTTTGACTTGGCAAAATAATTCCTATTAAGACCTCAGCTTTTCCATCCAAATTTCTCAAGCAAAAAAGGACTGCAGAAATTGAAAATTGTTTGTAAGTTCTGTTCTGAGAGAAGCTTGTAATTTAAAGTACTGGTTCTGCTTTTCATTCTGGGCAAAAGAAAGAAGTTTATAAACATTTTCCTTTTGTTTTGCAGGTCAAAAAAGAGTCATAAAAAGAGCCGCAGAGGAAATGAATAAAGATTTTTTGAAAGCTGATTTTTATAACCTACCTAGGACTGATAATATTGTTTTGTACATACTCTGCTTACAGTTCATTGAAAGAGGCAACAGTTTTTCTTGTCTTTTTAATAGACTTCTTCAGTTATTTGGTTAATATTTTACATTTGATAATGTATATAAAATGTAAATCAGGTTACCCCTACTTATGGTTCGTCGTGGATTCCACATGTCTGTTTTTGTGTAATGCAGATCTTTAATCCATAATTTCATAATTAGATTGTCAGAGAAATTGTAAAGTTGGTTTACATAAACATCAGTATGCAAACTTTACCTCGTATGGAGTGCACCCTCCTGTTCCAGAGATAGTTGCCCTCATTCTTCTTAATAAATTTTTTTAAATTAAAATTCCTATTGCATTTGTTTTACTTGTTTCAATGCATGTGCATTAATGAAAAACTGGATGATGTTGTAAATTTTCCATTTCTCTGAAGATTTAGTGTTTCATTCGTGTCAAGTAAAGAATCTCATGGGAAGGCTCAAATCACACATGAACAAAATTTAAGAGATTAATTAATCCAATAACCCAAGCAAGAAAATAAATTAAGTCTTAAGTAAAAAAAAAAAGCTTGACAATTTGTATATTCCTATCTGCCGCAACTGTAGCATCTGTACAAAATCAAACCTAAGAAGTAAAACAATATTCAACATTAATATTCAGACTAAGACTGTTTAAAAAAATTACAAATTTCAAATTCCTACTGAAACAGTTCTAGTATGAAACAATTGTCCTTTTTCAACTTCAATATGAAGTTCTTGATTGAAGTATTTGTAGTGCCTCATGTCAAATCCATATACAAACAAGCTACTGTATGTAACAGAGATGTATTTACAGCTCCTAAGATACTGGTATGCTACAAAATAAACATGCCAGTTATTTTGACTTCATTGGATATTTGTAGTTGGGAGTGAATCAATTCAAGAAATCAAGACTAAGGGGCAATTTTAAAAACCACAGGGATGAAGCTAGTTTTGAAACTTGGAAATAATTTAATCGCCAAGATTGTTACAGGTGAAAATGTCAAGCCGAGGCCTTGTTTTCCAGTTCTATTTTAATTTTGGGAAAGAAAATGTAATGCACTTAATAGGAACTGAAAAGTCTGTGAGCATACCCATTTGCCAAGTCCATTCCAAGACAGACACCAGTAAGTTGTTCAGGTTTTCTTACACTGTGGTATTGGGATAGAGTCGATTTCTGAATTCCATATTTAACTTTTGCACAAATCGATCCAAGACATAATGAAATATCTCTAAAACGCCACCTATCACCACAAAGCTGGGAGGAATGAAATTCTTGCAGCATTTTGCAATCATCCTGTTGTTTTCTGATGGTTTGTACTTGCCTGCAGCCGTTGATCACTCCTATCACTGCTCTCTTCTGTATTAGCGATGTTACTTTGCATTAACAGCAATCTTTTGGTCATCATAACTCTGGTACTTAAAAAGTATTCATCAGTCATCAGCTAAAATCTTTTAAATGCCCACACATTACACACTGATTCCATCTTCCAATAAATGTTTTGTTGCAAGCAGCTGCATTAATTGAAAAACTGACTACAGCGCAGGAAATTAATACCTTATGACCCAAACCTACCTCCTTGTAACAGTGTTCCCAGTGTGATTCTAGACTTTAAAAACGAGCTTGAGTTCAGAATTTGGTCTGCCTGCAAACGTTATATTTTTCTAATTATTAATTTTCTTTATATATATATAGACAAAAGGAAGGACATTGAAGTGCATGGGTGTTTTTTCCCAGTTCAAATAGGTAATGCTTTATTCTGCAGATAAGAGAGCCCTCTAAAGTACACTTTCTACTTTCAATGTGATGATGTGGGGCCTGAGATTAGATGTGATAGTGATGAGAGAGTATGTTGTGCCTTTGCAACAGAGGTCTCAGAATATTAAAGGGGCTAACCTTTTTACTATTTATTTTCCTGTAAAGCAGAGAATTAACAATAAAAGTGCCAGAAAGGTGACAAACCTGAAAGAAGTGACATGATCTACTTATCCACCTCTGGGGCATAACACACTTATATTAAACAACAAGAAAAAGGCAGCTTTTCTTATATATCGTATCAGTATATATGATGGACAGTAGGTGTTAATGAAACACTCAACACAGTAAAGTTATTACATTCAAGCCAGTGAACAAACATGGGTGCTTGCATGATTAGCAATACTTATACATAACATTTGAAATTGAAAGAAAATTTAAAAGCTCAGTTTTTCCTGGGCAAAACATTTGCTAAGGAAATCACTTAGAAAAGGATAAAACCTTATAAAACTACTTCACCATGTATTATGAAAACTGGCAGTATAACTGTGCATCAATCTTGATTGTACATTTATTTAATAGCTCCACCACCATTAACTATAAAATGAAGAAAACGGAAAAACAAATCCAGATTTTCCCAATTAAAAATCTTTGGTATTTAGAAATTCCATGTTTTTCACACAATACTGATCAGTCAACACATGAAAAAAGACTTTACATGAAGCAGTCAAATGTATTTTATGCAATTATGCCTTTTGTAAGCTAGGATTACAAACTTGGCATGAACAAAAAAATCGTGGAACAATTTCGATCATTTGCTTTTTTATTTTTCAGATTTTTCTTGTCTGTGTTAAGGACATTTATTTTTTGGCACTACATAATTATCTGAATAAGGGCGATGTTTTTAAAACAAATTCCTTTTCAAAAACTGTCCTTCAGCAAGCGAAGTATGAACACAGCTAATAAAAAGTAAATACATTTTAAAACCTTCTTTTACACATAAAATAAAATCATTTTTGGACCCCTTCAAAAATGGGGGCATTAAAATATTTGACATTTGTATCACAAATCAATGTGATGACACAAAAAAGTAAAAACTTATGTACAAAAATGATACAATATTTTTTTAGAAACAGTCTCGTGACCAAATGCAAATGCAAAGATAAAATATATTTTCTTTAAAAGGTAAGACCGTGAACGGACTTCTGAGAAAAATAAAAGGGGCTTTACTTCTTCTGTTGGATGTAGTTGAGATTTGCATGATGCCGCCGATGTTGCAACAGTGGGAAATGCTGGTTGCTGTGCATCACTGTACCTGGAGCAAAGCAGTTGAGTGTTAGTTCAATTACATACAGTCACATTATTTAAATAAGATGACATTATAACAGATCTAGTTTTAAAAACTCTGCGAATTTAATAGAATACAGAAAAGTCAATAAACCACTGCCCCATTCAGAGCCACGAATTACAGCAAATAGACCTCCCACGAAAAAGAGGTGGTGGAATTGTAGGTGTATATGAGGAAAAACAGAAAAAAATGCAAATGTGAAAACCCCACATTTTCCACAGTTTGTAAAATAATCAAGGGTGGGTGCCACTACCACCCTCTGCCCTCCCTACATGGCATCCCTGGCTGAGAACATAAAGCAAAGTGGATGTGTCTCGGTCATACCTTGTGTTATGAAAGGTTTGTTCTGTTGGAAACCTCCGTTTCCCTGCTGCAGGAAGCTCTGAGGCATCCGATAAGGCCATGAGGCAGAGAGTGAGTAGTGACCAGGATTGCTGTGGTCCCAGGGCAGAGAGCCCTGAGTCGCTTTGCCAAACTGTCCCTGAAAACCCTGGTCTGAGCAAAGAAAACACGACAAGGTTAGGCTCAAGGTCACAACCACACACTTACATCTGCAAAGCATAGTGGCACTACAGCACACACAAAAAATACGTCAATACGTCCAAACAGGTGCCCTGGGATTTACTCTGCTGGTGCAACCTTATAGCCCCAGTGTCTGTGAGACTTACCTGGGCTGGAAACACACAAGGCAGAACTGGCGGACACGTGAAAGAAATAGATGCCACGAAACAGAATCCAAAAGCCTATCCACATTATTGCATTCAAAAGTTGCAATCTAACTTCAGAAAGACAGAGTTAGATGTAATCTAATTGCAGCAAGACAGAGTTATTACTCTCCCATCACTCGATTAAAATCTAACGCACTTGGGCTTGTGATCCGCACTATAGATTCTTACATTTTGCAGGTGTGATCATAAGAACAAATGGGAATGCAGGCATTTTTTATCATATGTCATCTGTATGGTATGACACTCTTACGTTAGAAGAAAAGCACACCTGAAGCACAGAGGGCAGAGAGAATGAAAAGCAGAAAGAGCAGGAGGAGCAGGCGAGTGCGTGAAGGTGCTCCCAGTGTGTACCTGACTTCCCCATGGTGCCATTCCCCACCAGTGCTCCCGGGCTGAGGTGGTTGTGCCAGGGCCCCTCACGTCCTGCCCCGGGGGGGAGGCCCAGTGGCCTGCCTGCCGGCTGGGCGAAAATGATGCTGGGGTCGTTGAGGCTCATGGGGCTGGTGTTACTGGGGGAGCCGCTGCTGCCATTAGAGGGGGTGGAGCGAAGGGAGAAACTGAGCCCGGGGGGAGAGGGGTGGCCCGCCGCGGCAGAGGCCTGGAGCACCGGCCCGTGGATGGGCCAGGACGTGGAGGGGATGGGCACGGGGTGGTGCTGCTGCTGGTGGGACTGAAGGAGCCCCAGAGCCGGCAGCCCGGGGTGGTACTGTCCCGCGTGCGAGGGATGGAAGCTGAACAGCGGGAGCTGGACCTGCGGGTGCTGCTTGGGAGGCCCCGGGGCCTTAGCTTGGGAGGAGCCCCCCCCAGCTTGGGACTGAGGGGAGCAGGCGGGCTGGGAGGTACACTGGCTGAAGGGTGTGGGCTGTGGAGAGTAGGGAGGCGTCTGACGTGTCTCTGACTGCAAGTGAACACACAGAAAGAAAAAGGAACCCCTCAATAAATGGCGAGTAATAACCCTTGAGGGAACTAGATTTTTTTTATTTTGTGGTTTAAATCGACGCTTATTATAAGTAAAATGTTTTCAGAATTTGTCTCAAAGAACAAGTAATTGATATTTAAAGTATCTCCAGGATCACAACTGTATACCCCAGAGATACTCAGGCTTGGCGACTTTACCCACTGCATTACGACGGCACTCACAACCAGTATACTGAGCTGAAAGGAAAAACTGAAGTACAGGCATTTACCAAAAGTCCTGGACAATCTGAGTTAAATTCAACTGTCAGGCTTCTGTCGTGCATTTCCTGGTGCAGGAGCTGGAGATTGTACTCACACACTCAGAGGACTGCCGAGTTCTGCCAGGCCGATCCTGGGACGCCGCCACTGGCTGAGGCACAGGAATTGACTGGGAAGTCGCCATAGTCCGCATCATCTGAGGGACTGCGCGCCAATGGAGGGAACGCAGAAAGAAGGAAAAAGCTTGTTTTTTGTAGCCACTTCCCCATGTTTCTCATTGTTTGAACTGGAATTCAAATTTATTTTAGCTATTTATTTTTCTTGAATAAAGTAATTCTAGCCCCTTGCATTGTGCAGTTTTTGGAGGTTTCATTAAAACGTAGGTTAAACTCCTCTGATCTGCCCCCCTTTTAGCCATTGATCTTTTAAACACGATGGAAACGAGTGACATTTCGTGACCCTGAGCAGTGTGTTCTGGTGTATACCTGGCCCTGCTGCGCTCCTCTGGCGCAGCTGACGGTATTCAGGACAGTCCCTGCGCACGTGGCCCGTGTCCCCACACTGGAAACAACGTCTTTCCCTGGGCTCGCGCTCTTCCTCCTTCACATCATCGTCCTTCTCATTTTCCTTCTTCTTCATCCTGACACAGGCATACACACAACCTCACAGACGTGCCACTGCGATAACTGTACCTCTGCACACACACACACCTCCCAGAAGTTTTTGAAAAAATAGTTTGCCCCAAAAACATCTTCACGATTTGGAAATTTCAGAATAACCCTCAAAAACGAACCAGACATCCCACCTGCGTCTTTTGGGGCAGTCCTTCATATAGTGGCCAATTTTTCCACAAATACGACAGCACCTGTCATTGGGAGCCAGTTCCCCATCGGTGAGCACCTTGGAGTCAAAGAAGTAATCCTTCAAACAAAATCAGATCTGGTTAGTATGGGGACTGGGCACATTGAGACAGTCAGAGTGAGGAGAAAATGAGGTAAACTCAGACTTTACACCTAAGATTTGATCACAATATGTTGTTTTGAAAATAAAAATTATCAGTTGGTTTAACCTGGTATGTTGAAGGAGAAGCCAACTTCTTTAGGAAACCATCACAGAGAATTAAATAACATGCCATCTACATCCACCTTGCGTCTTGGCAGAGGCAACATCGACAGTGACCCGTTTCTGGACTAAACGCATCTACACATCTACTGCTACATCTGTTCTCTTTCTTTTTCCCCGTTTACAACCATTTTTTGTGCAATATATGCCAGGGACCTGTGCAATACATTTATATTTATATCTATATTTTCATTTATATTTATATTCATATGTGTGATATGATTTTTCTGTGTACTGCTCTGTTCTAGTTCGTTCTTGTGTGTCCGGACTGTGAGTAACTCTTGTATTGTATTGTATGTATTGTACTATTATTATATAATTTGTTACACTGTGGCTGTGTTGTGTGTGTTAAGCTGCTGTTGCACTACAATTTCCCTCACGGGATCAATAAAGTATCTATCTACTTGAAATGTACATAAACGTCTTCTTCACTACAAAAAAGGTAAATGAGGAGAGAATGCTCTGGCTGCATACCGCTTCCATCCCAGGTTGAGGGTAGAACGGGGTACCAAATAGCTTCCTTCCATTGATAAAAGCCTTCATGATGAAGTTAGTCACTGCAGAGAATAAAAAAATATATATATACACATATCAAAGAGCTAGAAACTTACAATTAACAAATACAAGAACAGGAACAAAAACCTGAACTGCTTACTTTTCCGAGAAACTCCAGCACCAAGATTATGATTCAAGTCAAATGGATCTAAAAAGAAAGGAAAAAAATAAATTATTGTTGTCACCACAGTCCATTTTGGTCCTCTTACTTCACTGTATTCAAGGAGCATGGTCCTTGTAAGCTAACTAATACACATATCTAAGAAGCAAATTTGGCAATTGCTAGTCATTTGAGAAGACAAGGAACAAGTAATAGGTTTATTCCATGCTGAAAAAAAGAATAAAGAAAACACAATGTTTCGGCCATGGAGCCTTCTTCAGGAGCCTTCTCACCTGAAGAAGGCTCCACGCCCAAAATGTTGCGTTTTCTTTCTTTTTTTTCCAGCATGGAATAAACCAATTACTTGTCCCATAGCAGCCTACGCATGCTGGCGCAACTACCCACCTGAACTATTTGAGAAGACAAGCTGCTTACCTGCACGTTTTACGATTAGTGTAAGATAAGCATAAAAAAACTTCTTGACACACATTTCTTCAGCAACACTCTCATCACATTTAAACCATACCTGATTAAGCAGATTCTTATTACGCCTTTCCCCCAGTTTACAAACATTTGGCTCACAAGATTTTGCATTAATCCAACCGACAAAACTCAGATATCTCAACATGTCTAGTTTTCATATCAACAAATATCCACATGATAGGAGGCTGCACCATGAATACATGATGGTTTAACAGAATCCACCTGAAAGCAAATATCCCTAATAAGGAACATGGCATTTATTATTCTCACGATTGATGGAAAGTGTCCAGAAAACTACAACAAGAAAAGAGAATGAAAGCCATCCAGACGTTTCTCAATGTTTTCCTTAAGCCTTGGACTTCCAGCACTGCAGGAAAAGAGTAAGAGCCACCTACCCACAAACATTCGGCTCCATCATCTCCAAACCTATTGTGACAGTAATACCTCCATCACCTTTCTAGTCATTCTAACATGCAGATCTTTTGGGGAGATACAAAAAGATTTATTGTGTTTGTTTTACATTTATGATTGTTCAATCATTTTAAGATTTCTTTATTTTTGTCTCTGTACTGTGAAATGTTACAGGTGGATGCTTTTGGTTTGGGAAAAAAGTTTAAACGCCTGCCTAAGACGTATTCCCGACTTTTTCCATCTCTTGGCAATTGGAAAGACCGTTTTGGGTTTTCAACATGTCGCTTCAGCCCGACCTTCAATGGCTATGCATTTGGACGTCCACTGCTTCTCGAAGGTAGTCAGCAGCTTCTTCTGCCGGATGCTGATGACATACTCCTTGAAGTCGAACTCCTCGGTGTAGAAGCGCAGCAGACCCAGCCACAGTTCCCCCACCGACTCTGAGTTCTGTCCCAGATCAGGCAGGCGCTTCTTCTGAAGGGGCATGAGCAGAAAGTGCAAGATAATCACAACACAAAGGATCTGGAGAAAACAGGTGGATTGCAAACAAGACCTATATCCAGATCAGAAACCTTTGGCACGTTTATTTTATGGCCTTTTGTGATCCTTGGCACTGTAGTACTGACCATAATGGTCAACATTATTTTATGACCATTACTATATAGATATGTCACAGCACTGATTCTTTAAAAATCAATGCCAAAAGCACTTAATCTAATAGTGTTTTTTCTTAATTATGTCTACAAAATGGAAGTTTCTACAATTTAGGACTCTCAGATTGTGTCAGGTAGGAGTTGGGCTGTTCAGTGCAAATTTACAATCACACCACAGTTTTTCTTGTAAAGAGAGAACAAGTGAAAATTGTGTATTTTGAAGACAACCAGCAGTACAATTGCTATAAAATGGATTTGTAGGTTTATATGAAAGCAAAGAAAGAAAAGGCATTCAACCACTTAGTTTCCATTCAACCATTTATCATGATCTCGGGACACAGTCAGCTCGCCTCAAGGGCTACTGCTGTCTGAATTACCCAGCCAATAGAACACTTGAGGTCAAGTAAAAAAATTCCAAAAAACACATGTACAGTCTTGCTACAATATTAGGTGTCTGAACTAGCTGCATCATGAAAGATTAGAACAGAACCATCAAACAGACTTCTGTATGGAACCTCTGCCTAATCCATTAATCACCATGTGGTAAATTATCTTAAGTCGGGACACGATTACTCTGACAGTCCCTTGCCTTTTTGAAAGCTTACCAGCTCCTCAATATCATCAAAGAAGAAAGCATTCCAGCCATCTACCATCCTCTGAGGGACATTGTTACCATCAAATATCTGCAGAGATAAGAAGATCTCATTATAAGATAACAGGTTTCTATGCCACCATTCAACGTCAAATTATCAGATCAATCCAATGCAGAACGAGATAATATATTAGATAGCGGGAGTCTTTTTTGAAAAAAAAAACCTCTGATCTGTTCCTGTAAAATGCCGAAAGAAAACAAAACATTATGCCAATATTGATGTAAATATGTGGTGGGGCTTACACATTGAAGATCAGATATTAAAAAAAATTTCTCCCTCCCTGTGCCTTAGTAAAGCCTAGTGACCCAGGACTGAGGTGTGACTGAGAGCGTACTGTACCTCCTGTAGGACTGGGATCACAGGGGGATTCCTCTGCTGCAGGAAATAAAGTACCATGAGGATATAGGCATAGGAGGACAGACTCCCCCTTGAGGCATCGCCAATATCGCAGCGCTTTAACAGAGGAACAAAAACACAGAAAAAAATTAAAATGTCATGCAGACCTATAAACTTTTTCCATTTCTAGAAACAGATTACCTCCTTGCACTCATTAACTTTTTCTACCTCAGAGTGAGAACAGCAACACTCAGGCATCAATTTCAAGCAGAAAGGCTTTAGTGAATGGCTCCACTGAGACATTTTAAGTGACCACATGCTAATATGGATCAAACACATTTTAAAATTCAAAAGAAGTTTACCCTATCAGGGATAAAATTCCATGACTTTGAATGGGACCCCCCCAACAGGGCAATGTGTTCTTAGAACACAGTCTCTAATACCTGCTCACTCTCAAAATGTTTTACTTTATTTGACTATTTACTACACTGCAGCATGAAGACTCATCTGTCGGGTTCTGCTTTAGCTTTTCATTTCTGAAAGAGCCTCATGGTCAATAGGAAATCCCTTCCTGGATTCTACTAAATTCCTGCTATAGCTTCTTTGGCATAAGTGATATCTTTATCCCCTGTAAAATGTGTTCTGAACTTGCTGAACAAATTATCTCACTACAAAACTTTAGAGGGAACGGTTAGTGTGCATAAGGATATTCTTCTATATGTAGTCCAGAAAAAGTCACGCCCTGTTGACTATTAACTAGCAAATTGCTAAGAACATTGAAGTGTAAACTGTGGTTCAGAGAAAATGAAATTTTTCAGATTCATCCTGGTGTTGATGAAATATCATCCATAAAACATAGACACGCTATAAGGGGGAAAGGTTCAGTTCCGTCAACAAAAGTCTGTTCTAAAAACTTACCCTAGAGATTTGCTGCATTAAAACCTTTGCCAGTAAAATACATCCGAGAGCAAAACATAAGCTCCTAACTTGAACTTCCTCAGCTTTAACATAAAACCAGTAAAGTTTTCAATGTCACCAATACTGAATGTCACCAGTAGAAAATCTTGTACCCACTGAGATCTAACAAGTTTATTTTATTTAAATAAAATCCAGTGAATCCTTGATAAATGATTTTGCTAAAAGAACAAAGTCTTAAATACAGAAATGAAGACACTGCAAATTATCTATAAAACTTGATCTTTTAAAACTAGTTCTATGGAGGTATACTTAAACTGGATGCCTTGAAGATTTTTCAAGAACATATAAGGAAACTATGATATGACACATTTCACTATTGTGTTTTGTTATTTCTGTTGCATTAACATTTTGAGTTGAGATATAGTACAAGAGAACATACAAGAGTCACTACTGCTCAACATATGGTGTTTCACCATAGAACAGACCTTTTCATCTTTATTTAATGATTGTTGAAAATTATTTTTTTCTTAATACTAACTTATTATTTTACAGCTGCTGGTAAAAAAACATTGTGAGCTTCCAACAGTAAAGAACTCAGTTCAGCCATGAAGAATTTGTTGCTTTTTTATCAATTCCTGGGTGTTGCTAAGCTCAGTACTTTTGTACTTCATCTGAGTTTGAGATGTGCCAGTATTTTCATTTAAGTGTTGTGTGGGTGCAACTGAAATTGGAGTGTATTAGATTTCCAACTGTTGGATATAAATAGGATGGAAAGGCTTTTATTTCCCAATCACTGAATTATGTCCTTAAACTTTGCCAATTCTTTTAGTCGACAAAATAACTTTACTCTAAATTCACAAAAGTGAATTCACAGAATTTAACAAAGCAACAGTAGTGCAAGTTAAATTATACCTTTGCAAACACTTTCATGGTATATCCCAAATATTGCACTCGAGGGTCAATAGCAGCATATGTAGCCAGCATTCTGGTGTTATGTTGTGCCTGTTGGAAAATGAAATTAATTTTACTTCAGTCTTTTCCCCCTTTACATTTGATTAGACGTACAATTGTTTTAATTTTTACAGGTGAGTATCCCAAAGACAGAACCAAGAACAATGCATCAAAGGCAACCTCATGTCACATTTCTGCAAAAAGACTTACCAGTGTATTGTACAAGCTTATATCTCCTTCTAGTCCACTTTGTCTGTGTTCAAATTTGACTATAGGCACTTTAGCTGTTGTGATAGGCAAGATGTTTCTTAGACCTGGGCAAACAAAATGGATGAAATCAGAACAACCATGCACAGCTTAGGCTTGAAGAAGTTAATTCTACTAAGATGAATACTATTACCTGCATGCTTCTTTAAAACCTTTGCTAAACCTTCAATAATTTCTTTACTGTTCAGCTTCTGGAAGAAAAAGCAAACACAGATGCATTACATTTAGGGAAAGATATCCACTTACTGTGTTCTTCTGAATTACTGTTTTAAGGTCTGCATATTTTTTCCCAGTGACTTTAAATACATGTAAAAGCCTATTTTCTTACCTCTGCTGTATCGTGACCTTCCAGTGTCATGCAGATGTCCAGGTCACTGTCACGGAAACCAAATCCATTCTTAGAGGAGCCAAAGAGACACAGCCGGGCCTTGTCTACAAGAGGCAGAGAGCACGCAAATGCTGTATCACTTACAAGCACACTCTGACTAGCAGCTACCTATGTACTGATGCACTTCTTTACTCAGGAAAGAAACAAAAAGCAGATATCCAACAGTAAGCAAGGCTATGTATGTTTAACAAGGCCAAATACACAGATGTTACAAAAATTAGGTATTTCCCACTACTGCATACATGACACACCTGAAGAAGGCTCTACGGCCGAAATGTTGTGTCTTCTTTCTTCTCTTTTCAGCATGGAATAAACCTATTACTTGTTCTTTTGCAGCCTACGAATGCTGATGCAGCTTTGCACATGACACTAAAATGTTGAATTTTCATCTAATTTTCACAAATGTCATGATCAGATGCAAACAATCAGCATCATTTTATATTTAAACCAAGAACCAAATTGGGGTGTTTAAACTGCTTACTGTATTCAAACAAAGAACTCATCAAAATACGCTTATGCAGAAGGAAAAGAGTTATGCATCGAATACAGAGCCATGAAGCTTGACAGAACAGTACAGTTTTAAAAAAACGTAGGAAAAGCTCTTTCAATATAACTTATTCTTACAAGTCTGGGATCTTTAAGCTTGTCACCTACCATTGTACTCCTTACGTATGAACCTCTCCAGGCTAGCTAGGATGTGTTCTCTCTTCTGTTGCTCCTCCAGCCGCGGGGACAATTCATCTATAATTAAGACGAACAAATGTTTGTTGAGAGGCTATATTTCAGTTATGCCAATGGTGCACCATTGTCTTAGAGGCATCAGATGTGTCAAACTGATTCTGTACCTGTAAATATCACTCAAGCTACTTTCACCAAGCATCTCGGGCGTCTGGGTTAATAAACTTTTTGTGCACCAGCTTCTTGGGAGTAAAATGTTTGTCAATGTGGACCACTACAGTATGTACAATATGTCCACAGATAATTGTATTGCCTTCCTAACCTTTAAGGCTGGATCATCATAATTATAACGGTACTGACTAAATCACTGTGCAGAGCAAAACGATCTGTAAGAGTGAGAGGACGCAGACAAAAGAAGGTCTGTTTGCACTCTCAACACTCTGGAGAAAAGCTTTAGTAAAGACTGGAATACAGGAAAAAGCACATTTCTAAATTTCTAGTGTGCTTGCTATAGGCCTGAAATGTTTGGCAAACAAGACTTTCATTTAAATCCAATCTTCCACACTTGAATTACTACGGAAAAACAATAACATTCGTATAGAATATTCAATTATATTAATTCAATATCAAAATTAGAACGGCACTCACTATAACACATTCTGCAGAGCCCGTCCAGGATTTCCCGAAACCTGGCCGTCATGGGCGGCAAAGGCTTCAGATCGATCTTCTTGAAGTCTTCGGGACACTCATCTTTCAAGTGTCCGTCCCGCTTACAGATGCTGCAGACCACTGTGGGTGGCTGGAGAGGAACAATAGCCAATAAATGTCTAGAATACACAAGATCTCTCAACAAATTCAAGAGACTTTGCACAGCCTAACCCCAGCGGTGCAAAACAAGAGCTGTAGGCACACATCCTCCAAACCCCTGGTGTTGGAAAGTAGTAATAAGAACTTCATCATCGGGGTATCGTGTGGTTCAGGAGAAGCGAACATGCTAACAGTGACTTGCAAAAGCATTCTTACCCTTCCGATGGTATCCCATTTTTGTGAAATTACAAAATGATGCACACAAATTTCCAAACCCTAATATTTTCTTTAAAACCTGAATGTTCGAACTGAAGATTTCGAAGGTCGAGACAAGTTACAGTTAAGGTCAGGAAAAACTAAAGAGAAAAAAAGAAAAATGTGATTGTGTATGTCTTCAGACCTAGAAATGTAATATTAAGTGGAAGCACCTTTGACAGCTGTTATAGCCACAATTTGTTGTGTAAGTCTCTATCATCCTTGTACTCTGGCTCAGTGCAATTTTTGCCTATTTTTACGCACCATTTAGAAAATTACCCAGGATTACCTTTTATAACCTTATAAAAGTAAGAGCACTATTGCATGCTTATGATATTTAACCCATTTAACGTAGTATGGTAGTTAAGTAAATATGTACCAATTGTAAACTGAACATATAGACAGAGCGTTAGTGTTCAAGGCAATGCAAACGTCATTCAACCACTCATCTTTTGACACCGGACACCTGAAGAAGGCTCCACGGCCGAAACGTTGTGTTCTCTTTCTTCTTTTTTTCAGCATGGAATAAACCTATTACTTGTTCCTTTGCAGCCTATGCATGCTGACGCAGCTACCCACCTGAACTACAATCTTTTTAATATTGTCTATCACTTTTTATGTATTGGGGGAATTCTTTCCTTGTCTTCTCACTTTTTGGAACACCTGGTGCACTGAATATGTTTTGCCAATATGATGTTAAAAATAATGAAGACATTCAAAATTAAAAATTAAATTAAATTAAAAACAATATTAATAAGCAAGGTCACACGGAAAGTTCCTTTGTTGTAACGAAAATTACTTTGAACACCAAAATACTGATGTTAGATGAAAGCTTTCATTTTAATAATCTCTCATTTGTAAATCAATGGTTCATATGGTGTGTGGTGTATGTAGCTGAACTTTTTTTCATCTCTGTCCTGGCAAAAATTATTTTTTGATTACAATTATTTAATGTACAATAATTGCAATTACATTTGAAAAAAAATCTGGTTAAAAATGCTGAAAAACATCCTGTACTCAGAGGATTATCAATAAACCCTGCTAAATTTTCATCTAGTGAAGAGAATGGCTGTTAATTACATTTTAAAGGGTATTAGCTGTACCTAGTATAAATCAAACATAGTTAATCAAATCAAATAAGTCTGACACCCTGGCTTAACCTATGATGAGGCATGCAAGTATGAGTTACCTTTCCTCCTGTGAAGATTATTCTATCAAAGACGTAGTATAAATCTTCAGGGACATTTGGCGTCTCTCCCTTGTCGTCTCTCTCCTCCTCATCGCTCTCAAGCAGCCCGTTCTCAGCTGACCCGTTAAGCGAGGTAGATAAGGAGCCGCCAGCCAGGTAGCCTTCCTGGCCGTGCTCCCGAAGAGGAGCTACGCCACTTTCTCCTGCAGGCCCGTCCTCGGGGCTGCCCGCTAGGTCCGAGCGCAACGACCTGACCCCATCCCCCCCGCGGCTACCAGCTTTCCCCTTCAACCTGGGAGCTGTTGTCTGTGCAAAATTGCCCTGGGTTGTTTCGGACAGGCCTTCCTCCCTGTCGGTCAAGTCCAAGTCCATAAAGCTCTCGGGCAGCAAAACTCCCTCTGGAGTGTAGTCCTCGTCACTTAGCACCCCCTCCTCGTCCTCTTCATCATCTGTGTCTTCCTCCTCTTCCATCTCCCGGAGCCTCGGCTCAGTCCCTTTGCCCTCTTTGTTGTCTGGTGTTCCTCCCTTGCTCCGAGTCCCAGCCTGCGGCTGCCTGCTAGTCCCCTTAGCTCTTGGCTTCTCCCACCTACCGCCCCTTTCTTGTCCCTTTGTGGTGTCGTCCCGGCTTTGTGGACAAGCAAAGTATTTATAGGCTGTGCGGAATCGCTCCAGAATGTACTCAAAAACCATCTGGCTGTTAAGGCTCCGTGCCACATTCCTCTTCAGTGCAAAAGGATCTGAGAGAGAGAGAAGATGCAGTCAAAAGAAGGTTTATTTGCAATCTTCAACACTCAAGAGAAAAAGCTGTGGTAAAATAAAGATTGGAACACAAGAAAAATGCACATTGCTTAATACAGATGTGCTTGCTGTAGGCCTTAAATGTTTGGCAAACCATGCTCTATTATTTAAATAAAGTCTTCCACACTTACTGTGCATTGCAATACATTAAGGAAAATTAATTGAAATAAACAGATTACAACCAGCTTTACAGTTTCATTGTCAGAATTAATTACTGTTTTAGAGCTCAATAAAATGTCAGATGGCACCACAAACCTCTTACAGCAGAAGGATATTAATGTAACATTTCACTAAATACATTGTTAAAAAACAGACTGTGGACAAACACACTAAACTGAACAAGTGAACTTCTGACACATGCAATAACAAAGCTGGAGGATCAGAGGCATGCGACTCCGTGATCTGGACTCACCCTCAATGGCCAGTCTCCTCTTGGGCCAGTTCTTGATCTCACGGGACAGCAGTTCTTGCAGGCGAATGCTGATGATGTGCTCTTCTAGGGCAAATTCCAAAGTGTAGAAGCGCAAGAGCTCCAGCCACAGCTGCCCCAGAGACACCTCCGGCCTGGACTCCAAAGTGAGCGGTATCTGCACAGCACAGAGGTGGCATTACAGCGTAACAAGCATCACAAACTCATTCACTTCATCATTAGGAACCAATCAATCACAAATGATTCACATTTGGGAACGTTCCAAGTGTTTTGGCTTCAACATTTTGGATGAGATTTGTCTTCCCCCTGCCCAAAGCCATGATTCTTTGTGTAAATGCCACTTGAGCCACAAAACCGTACATGAGTGAAATTCCCCATTCTGTATGTCATGCTTTTAGAAATCCTGTGCTGTTTCCAAAAGCAACTTAATTCGCCTTTTTTTCTTGTAATTCCCATTCCAGACCCAGCATTCTCTTGATGTGATGAATGCATGCAGGATTCGACCATTAGTAATGCATTATATAAAAGGAAAGGGAATAACATGTAACTGAGAAGAGGAGAATGAAATACTCAAAACATTATCGGACGATATCGACAACTGGAAATCACGACCGGGGTCCGCTCACGCATAAGGTTTTCAGGACATGGTAACACCAACAAACTATTGGATAGGAAAGGAAAACCTCCTTAAGAACTTATAACAAAATAATAATGTTGTGCTTTAGATTAAGAGCTAAAGCACGACAATCCCACATTCCATTTAGCAGCTCACTGGCTTGCAAAGTGAACATCAAGACAAGAGAAACCTGAATTAGAGCACAGCGCGCACCCTGCCGCTCTTGGGTTTTCCTTGCCAGCCATTGGAATCCAAGGTCTCGGGCTTCTTGGCAGCCGATTTCTTCTGCTCTGCTTTGGCTTTGCCGGCATTCTTACTCTCCCCACTGGTGGACGGCCGGTGCTCCCACAGCACAAACCTGTCCTTCTCAATGCCCTTCAGGTGGTACTCGTCCACCTGCTTCATATCAAAGCCCTCCATCTGAAACAGCAATATCAGAAGGGGGTATATTTAAAAAAAACAAACATTTTGCTGAATTCAATAGAATGCTATGGAATCAACAATAATAAATATATATATATACAGGTTATAAATACATACATAAATAAAAACTAAAGCATAATAATACTAATAATAATTCCACATAGCTTTCAGCAGAAACCTGGCTTACAATGTCACAGAACAAAAGGGCATAAAAATATTTTGATGAAAAAGACTGGTTTAAAAAAACTGATATATTGATCCAAAAAATGTATTATATTAGACACCCCAATTCTTCACCTACCCACGAGCCCAGGTAGACGGGGAGGATGGGCTCCTTCCTCTGCTGGAGGAAGAAGATGACCATGAGGGCGAATGAGTAAGAGGGGATTCCGCCCTCAGCCTGGCAGTCAATGTGACACAGCTGAAAGGACAAAGACTGGGGTCAGGCCAAGGGGCAAGCTGGAGCAGAGATCGAACCGCAGCCCAACGGCATTCAAACACAGTGAAGCCAAAGTGCTGCACAGCTCAGATGAATGAACACGAAGACTTTGGGAAGGTCTACACTGCACAAAGTGTCGATAGAGAGATTCTAATTTTCGGTCCAGAAACAGCTGTGAACTTTCCCTGATGTTAAAGAAAACGCATATTTTACTATAGAAATACAGATTATTCAATTCACATTACCTTTGCCCTCTTCTGACTAAATTGTCTTCATATATCAAAGTTTTCTGAATTCATTCATTCAGGTTCAATAACACTGTAGAAATTATCTTGGTTCAAATCACTGTATTTAAATCAAGTGCATAGTACTCATACCGCGCATATTAACAGCCAAACTGCAAAAGTTAAAAGCTAACATTAAAACATCAGAAAAGAGTGACACCCCGTTAATCCCATCATGTTAAAATACAAAGTAAATGAGGTAATAGTGTACAAGCACTGCCAATGCAAGCGCTGCAATAAAAATAACTATGAATTGTGTCAGGGAAGTTTTCCAAAAAATTGTACAGACCATACGCATGTAAATCTGGAAAACAATTAATTTAGACAGCTATTAATATACAGATTCAGAAACAGCCTTTTTGAGTAGGAACAAGTAATAGGTTTATTCCATGCTGAAAAGAGAAGAAAGAAAACACAATGTTTCGGCTGTGGAGCCTTCTTCAGGTGAGAGAAAGACAGGGCAGTAAGCAAAGGTAATGTAGTGGGAGAACAAAAGCTGTGAGAGAGAAGGAGCGAGGGGTGGGAGCAGGGGACAGACAGAGAGGCCAATCAGGTAGTGTGAAGTCAGGATAGGTGAAAAGAGGTGTGAAATGAAATCAACATTGAATAGAGTGAATTTAGAAGACAATTAGTCTGTCGTTGAGAGAAGGAGGAAGGTGTAATCCTAGCTGCAGGATAATTTTAATTTCTGTAGTCTTTCTGATGTGGGAGTTAGGAAAACCGTCTTTGAGAACACAAAAGGAGAGATTAGTGTGATCATGGCCATCAGAAGTGAAATGAGCAACAATAGGCTTGGAAAAATCTTTAATCTTCACAGCCCTGTTTCTCCAATGTAGATGGCTGGGCATTAACTGCAAGTGAATCAACAAATAAGGTTGCTGGTGGTACAAGATGTCATCTGAATGATCTGGAATTGTCCTGAGGGGCCTTGAATAAGTGTGGTGTTAGATATACTTTTTTGAGTATACTGTGCAATTACTTTAGTGTGAAATCATTATTAAAAAAACAATATTATTGAACATCTGTGTTTGGAACGAAATATACTGAGAAAAAACAGGACTTTTACTAAGAGATCATCTACTAAATATCAAAATAGACTAAATGCATTTCACAAATCATGCATGAGTGACAAAGAAAAATAAGGGAGAGCATCTGGCTATGTGATGAGCAGGGTTCCAGACACTAATGAACAGCACATGAAATAAAGTATATTAATAAAGTAAGAAACATTTACACATTTGGCAAAAAAGATACCAAGATCAAAACTGAACACAAATTAGGTTCTGATGCAGACAGTCATTAGCAAGAGTGATACTGTATTTGCAATTTAGCTGCCATTACTGGCAGAAAGATAATTTCTACAATACTAGAGCTCTGCACAGGTAGGAAAACGCTGAAATGAACAAACTATGGATAATGTAGCACATAAAGAACCTACCCTCGCCCAGTAGCGAAAAGCCAGGACCAGTGGAACTAGCCTGGGCTCCAGCTTGGCCAGGGCAGCCAGGAGGTTAGTAGTCAGACAGGCTACATCATTGCCGGCACTCACTTTGCACATCAAACCACTGCATACAGAGAAAAATAGGTCGTTAAACCCAAAGGGCAAAAGGTGGATATCTAAGAAGAGACAGCATACACAGGGTTAATCTTAACCATGTAAATCTTTTTGGATTAGCAGACCAAGCGTCACTGAATCTCTAATGCCATGCAAATTGTTCACTGGGTTTAGAGGTTAAGAGAACAGCCCAGCCAGGACTGTATATCTCCCACAGGGAGCAGTGATCAGGGTTTTGGACAACTGACCATAGGGTCTTACTTAAAGTATTGAAGTAAAAAAGTCAGTGGTAATTTTTCAAACACTTTAGAAAACTTCATCATATACTTCCTTCTCCTGCGAGCGATTTAATTTAACTATTTATCCCGGAGAAAGCAGTGAATGTTTTTTTCACATTTTACTTGTTCCTTCATTTATCATTGGTCACTGACCTGCTAACATCTCGGCAAAACACAACAGGAACTTTGGCATGAAAATCTGACTCAACATCAGTGTATTGAGCTGTAAAAAAATAGAAGACATTTAGTTATTCTAAACATGTATCATGACAAACCTAACGTGCATATCCTGAAAAGGAATACGTTACTGTAATCATCATTGTCTTTTGCACCAAAAAACACATCAATGAATATCTAAAGTCGTAGTAATTCAATTCCCAACCTTAACTCTTAAATGCACTCTTAACACAATTTAGCAGCTAATGGTTTTAGCTTTGCGATTTGAACAAATGCCCTTAGCCCATTTATGAGATAAGAAAAAATAAAAGATCACACTGGACTATAGCTGTGAACTTATTATGAACTCATTGTTAACTACAACAGAGCAGCTGTGTTCCAATATGAATAACAAAGCAGTGATTCATTATTTTGAACTACATGGCGAACCACATGATGTGCTCTGATATTTATTTTCTAAATGAAGGATGAATGAAGGTCAACTTACTGCTACTTTTAAGGATTTCCAGTACTTGTATTAAAACATCTGGTTGAGTCATCTGAAAAGACAACAGAAAAACCATAACAAAACTTAGTTTTTATATAAAACAATTCCTACAGTTAGTCTGCAGTTATTTTTGTAAACAAATAACCTGTTGCCTCACAAAACAGAAATGAAACAATGTATCAGTATTTACTTGTGTGCTTCAAAGACATTTGAATTCTCACTCAAATTTCACCTATAATCTAAAACTGTTATAAACTATTATAAAATAAAAGCAAAATAGATATGCTGTTAACATTCAAGAAGAATTAATCTTTGGAGAAATCTTCAGTTATTTTTTTTCTAATCAATCCTCATTTAGCTAGTGAAGCATATTCTCCAGGCAAGCCCATTCAAAAGTCAAGCCTTGTAAACTGATGTGTTTACAATAGGTTCTTGGCTGACTCAATCACACTGATTAAAAGCTTTTGTCTGCTATCTGCCATAATCACCTTCCACTAATACACTCATTGACAAGATTAAGCGCAAAAACAAATCATTTCAAGTGTTTTTCAATGGGGGTGTTGACTCACATTGGATGGAAACATGACATCAATATTGACATCACTGGTCTTGAAGGCAAACCTGGTGAGACATGAGCCGTAGAGTCGGAGGGAACAGGCTGAAAGGCAGAAAATTAAAGCATTCATTAAACTTTGACAAAACAGAGCCTTGTTTCTAATATATGTTTTTACCAGATTATTTCTTGTGCATAAAAACAGTACCTCTTCCAAAGAGTTTTTAAAGGGTTAAAACAGATAATTCAGCACTTAATACTGTTATCTACAGTGCAATGGGGAAAACACCTAAGACATTATGCCTTTTTACTGTCATAAGTTCCAACTCTTTACTACTGTGCAATATATGCTCAATGTATATTTTTTGAAGCAGCAGTGCTCTTAAATTTGAATCACAGTCCTATCAATTTTGTGTCCTTTGCTGTCAATTCATGTGATAAGGCTGAGTATACAAATCAGGCTAAAATTATATATATTTCAACTCTTGTCTGTAGGCATTCACCACTTATTTCAATGGCAATGCATTCTGGAGAATGCATGCAAATGGTCTTACCGGACAGTTGTTGCTTGATGATCTCCTCCATCGTGAGGACGACACCCTGCCGCACAGCGTGGTCCTCCTGAGAGATGCCCTGCTGCTTGGCTGCCTCCAGCACAGCAGCGTTGACTGCCTGGAGCTGGGAGGGCGACGGTGGAGGCAGAGCCCGCAGCTCGTTCTCCTCTTGCTTCTCCTACATCCATGCAAGACGAGAAAAGGCCCAAGAGCACACATGAGGCTCTGTAGACTAATTCATTGAGAGAATCCCTCCTGTATTTATTCGCTGTTATTAAAAATGTAACTGACAGGACAAAGAGCAGCATGTAATCAAGCATGCCTCACAGGGCTTAAATCCAAGTTCAATTCCAGAAAATGCCTTCTGTCCTGTGCATGACTGTTCAACCACTTTCCACAGAAACTAACATGCTAACTAATTTGGCATCTCAAAGATGTCTGCGTGTACGCATGCCTATGTCCTACGGCACATGTCCTATAATAATTATAAGAATTGCTTACACTTGTATAGCGCTTTTCTGGACACTCCACTCAAAGCGCTTTACAGGTAATGGGGACTCCCCTCCACCACCACTAATGAGTAGCCCCACCTGGATGATGCAACGGCAGCCAAAGCGTAACAGTCCGCTCCCCACACATCAGCTATCCGTGGGGAGAAGAGCAGAGTAATGAAGCCAATTCATAGACGGGGATTATTAGGAAGCCATGGTTGGTAAGGGCCAATGGGAATTTGGCCAGGACACCGGGGTTACACCCCTACTCTTTTCGAGAAACGCCCTGGGATTTTTAATGACCACAGAAAGTCAGGACCTCGGTTTTAGATCTTATCCGAAGGACGGCACCTTTTTATAGTATAGTGTCACTGTCACTATAATGGGGGCATTAGGACTCTCATAGACCGCAGGGTGAGCGCCCCCTGCTGGCCCTACTAACACCTCTTCCAGCAGCAACCTTAGTTTTTCCCCAGGAGATCTCCCATCCAGGTACTGACCAGGGTCACACCTGCTTAGCTTCAGTGTGTTGCCAGGTGTGAGTTGCAGGGTGATATGATGCACTAGAGTCATATCAAGGATATAGTTCCACCTTGTGGTCTATGGTTTGCGATAGACTTAAGGTTGCCATGACCTCACCCAAAAAAGCAGCTTTCTGATAGCTACTGAAAGGATAATAAAACAGATGGAGATTGAAAGAACAAATTTTATATTTATGACCCCATCTGTTAACCAAACACAACAAGATCTCACTCACAATGACCTATCGGTAAAGACTGATTATGCTTTTCATTGAATCACACTGGAATTAAAGTAAATAACACGGCAAGACCTTCATTCAAATAATTCCCTTGTTTTGTGCAGCAACTTTTTTTCTTCTAAAAGGTCAGCAATATGCCATAAAAGGGAAGTCTCATGCAGGGACAGAAGAAGAAGGTGGGTTTTTCCTCTAAGGAACTTACCATGATGTTTTTCTTGTGCCGTTTTTCCTTGATGTGTTTGTGTGCTGCCTGGATGTTCTCAATGTGCACTGAGCACAATTTGCATAGGTACTGGAAGTTGGGATACTCTGGCAAGCGCTGCAAAGACATTTCAGCACCATTTGAATACAAAAGGGAGGAGACCATCACAACTTCTATTGCAGTGCAAATTACATTAACGTCTCAATGTGCCTGAAAATGGGCTCACCCTACTCCATCTGTAAACACAAACTATATTTGTCATAAAAATACTTAAAACGCTCACTTGCCAATACCTGCTTTGAAAAAAAAAAACACTTCTCCATAGCAAATTTCCTTTGTAACCATCTCAATGCACTACTTCTGACTGCCTTTTGTAGGCTTTATTATGTTGGGTGTTGAAACTGTATTTCAATAAGTTACTCTTCTACTTGTGTGCTCAAGGTTTATAGTTACCTAAGGTTTTTTTTTCTTCTCAGCTATTCCCTTTTTCATCACCAAAACCCCACTTTTTCCTGGAAAAAAAATCAAAGCTAACCTAAAAAGAACATAAGGGAGCTCTGCATAATTAAAGTTTAAGCTAATACTTCCAGTCACAAAAGGGCTGTAGTGACCCAGATGCATTCATAGGGAACACACTGCTGGCAGAGGAGAACTGCTGTACCTTGAGCAGCCGGTGAATGTAATCCCGCACAAGTCTCTCCTCTGCTTGTTTCAGCCCCAGCTGCTGCTCAGTGGTCAGATTAGACTCATCAATCACTTCAACAGCACCGACTGGCTTCTCCAGGGAGGGTGTCTCTGCCAACTGGCCTGCAGCATCCTCACCTGCAAATTCAAATTAATCCCATGTGAATGAATTACTTTTAATTAAATCAGGGGGTTCCCAGCTCTCATCAAGTATTACAAGGGTTTAAACTTTACATGCCACCTGAGCTGTTGATTACCTAACGCAGCTACTTTACTTCCCTAGCTAAACTACTTTAACATTGTTTTCTTAGGCAGTGAGCTGTTGACATTCTAAAAGAGCTTGAAAAGCCCCTTCAGAACTTGACTGGTACTACAAGGTGGTCTTGCATACTTCTAATCTAAAATTTAATTAAATATAACTTGGGGGATCAGTGCCTTCTTGAGAAGACCATTGATTTATAAATTACAACACTGTATAAACTGAAAAAATATTTTGGAGCAATTTTTGTGTGGCCTTACTCCGTGTTTTATCTTCTTTATCGTAAGTGTCCTTGGTGCTCTTATTCTCCTCCACACTCAGCTGGAGGAGCTGAGCAGGGCCCTTAGTTGTACCGAGATTTTCTGTTCCAGAGGGAGGCGGATTCTTCCCAGCATTCGATCCCTGTGCCTGCTGCTGCTGCGGCTTTCCCCCTTTCCCCTTCTCTCCCGGGCTGGACCTGCCAGTCAGTCTCCGAAACTTCCCATGGCCCTGCTCCTGTGAGGTCGCACCTGGGCTCCTCAGGCTCCCGGGGTCTTTGGGTTCATCTGGGGGTCTGTTTTTGATATCATTGTTGCTCCAGCCCGGAGTCTTAACACAGTCCTTTGGTGCCAAAGCCTCCTTCGCATTCTTGGATGCTATGGCCTTGCCCGCTCTGGCCTCACTGCGCAAGAGCTTAGCCATTTTCCTTGGGCTCTGGGGCTCCTGCATGTTTGTTGCTGCCTAGGGATCAACACCTACTGCCTTGGCTCCACCTTGGCAGACTGTAGCAATAGATCAACAGGGAGGAGGGGCAGAGCCCACTGGGTACCTAGGGAAAATACAAACAAAGGAATCCTCAACTTTCTACTTAGAGTAGGTGAAAGGAACAGCATGGAGTCAGGAGCAATCTGGACATGCAAGATTTAGGTGTTGCAAGACACGAATAAAACAAATCCCCCTACTATAACTGCTGCAGATTACATCAGTGTGTGCACGTTGCTTACGAAAAAACAAGGTTTTAGGTATGTAATCTACTTCTGTATAAAACTGTACAGTTACAACAAACATCAATACAATTATATTTTTGTATACCTTTATAAAATTCTAATCCTGAATATTTTAAGATCTAACCTCTCAGGTATTTGGGGGGCAGCCAATCGTTTAAAACTCTTAAATGAATCCTTATAACCACTATTTGTGACCAAATTAAATACATACACATAAGCTACGTGACGCTGAAGACTTGTTAACTCCCTATTCACCGACAGCTTTAAAAACAAAAGTGAAGTTCACGTCTCCTACAACGTTCTCCACAAATTCCGTAGCAAAGAATCGACACCAATGTTTAGATCAGCTATGAAATAAAGGTTTATGGGAAAACGGATGACAAACTCTTAAAAAAGAAATCGAACTAAAGCACGAAGAAGAAAAATTCTATTTAAAAGCAATCTAAAATCGAAGAGAGCAGGAAGAAGCATGTTGGTGTTTTGTTTTAATCAATGCAAACGGAAACGAAACTAGGAATGTCGTATTTAATAATAGCAACATTCTGCATTAAACACAAAATACTAGTGATTTTAAAACCGATCTTTACGTCTCTAAATATTTACTAAGCAAATCTGCTGTTTAAGATAACCATTTGTATGCAATTTTTAAACTAACAGCAATGCGGTGCAAGACATTTATACTTAAGTGTTACTTTAGAGTAAGATATTTTGCTAGCTAATTAGAAAAAAGTAAAACTACATGAAAGAAAATCAGAAGGTTCAATGTCAGTTGTGTACCATCTCGAATTTTTCCATCTCACAAATCCAGCTTGTGAAGCATAGAAGATTATCGGTACAATTAATCGAGTAAACCTTACAAAAATACATTTATTGGATAATTGGCAATCAGTCAATATATATAATCAATATTACATTTGACCCATCAACAACAGATGAACGTTTAGCTGCAGTTAATAAACCTATGTTGGGGGTATATAATATAGGTAGCCATTACCAAATATATTCACATTTGTGATCCCCAGGATCAACCTCAGGCTCTGAAAGTATGAAGTACAGTAAAACAAGAAATGCAATTCAAACAGCAGTTTATACGATCAGGCAGATCGCCCAACTAGGGCAACATCATTCTTACAAAATACCCTGCTTGTATTACATTACATAGCCCACGCACAAAAAGAACCTTTCTCCTCTTCCCGTATCTCTTAACTCTGTTTTGCAAATTATAAGGAAGCTAGAGTTGTACGTTTTAAAAAGGGGGCAACTATTTTACCTTACGTTTCTGTGCCTTCCTTACTTTACCGAGATTTTAAACGCCCTCCATCTTCGCAATGTTTATGTACGTCCTGTGGCCTGATAAAAACAGCAACCACGACCGCCATGTTAAACTGTTCGCGCACAGCATTATGGGCGGCATAAGAGGGACAAAGCAGCATAAGAGATACGGCACGGAGACCTGTTTTGTACTCTGAAATAACTGTATGTCTCAAAACCTAATTTAGTAAAAGTTTAGTTGAGTGTTTTTTTACGTTAAAGTGAAGATCAAGCTTTGCAAAGGAAGTACCCCTTTTCGTTAATACGAATCATAAGTTATTAAGTTAAGTTATTTAATTAAACAACTGAGGGCAGAATCTGTCTGCGTTTGGTTTGAAATATTCATGGATGTTACTGTTAGGATTAGTTACCCCCCATTTAGCAACAAAGTAAACAAATTCAAATTGCCCAAAATTTAAATGACTTATGACTTCAAATTCAAATTTACTCTTGGTTTAATATTTCATATAATTAACTATACATATCTTTTTCATATAAAGGAATTCAACATGGGCGATGAATATCTTTCTGCAACATAACAACGCGCGCCCCCACACTGCCAGGGCTCCAATAGTGAGTGCATTGAGATGCCTTGATCTGAACGATTCCACGTGTTTTACCGTTTGGATTTTCAATCGATGGATTTTCACGCTTGGACCGATGAAGGAAGTTCTTCGAGGTCAGTCCTAAGTAGTCACAGTAGCTACGAGAGAGCTACTCTTGGACCAGCCCATCACCATCCACAGCTGTGTCAAAGGTTTATGATGTGCAAGGTGAATATCTGGATCGAATACCCCCCCGCCCATGAAGCAATTTGAAATTCACAAATCTACTTTACTAATCGATTTAAGGACCTTATAAAAAATGATCTCATCGAGCACATACCCATTTGAGTTGAAATCCTAGAATTAATCCGTATTTTCATTTTAAACATTTTTTTTCCCCAAAACTGAATGAAAGATTCTTCTTTAGTTGATATTTCCTTGTTGTGAATAAAAACGTGTAAGTCATCTCCGGATATTTATCTGAATGCACAAGCGGTATGTTTATAGCAAAGCAAACGCCATTATCTAATCGAATTAACTGAACACTGAAATCTTATAACGAAGGTGCTTACATTTGAATAATCTTTGAATAAAATGTCTGTCGATCTCTCAATTTAGTATTGTGACAACCATAATTAATCAATTTTTTTATTCACTTGATGTGAACACCTGCAATAATCTGAGTTCTTGATTTGACTTAAATGTCCTAATGTAACTAACTAAATAGGTTCTCTAAACTTTGAATTTGGACTTTTATTGCCTGGCGAGACTGCGAAGCTCCCACTATATCACTGCAGCCATTTACAGTTAGACGGCACTCTGGTGATATTGGTGTTGAGTTTTACTGAATAAATACTTGCCCCTATGACTTTATGATCTCTACAGGAGATCTAAGAAATGGTGGCACCGGTTATTGTTTGCAATGATAGAAAATGCACTTGATAATTCATTCAGAATTTACTCTGAAATCTGTGGTAAAACACCATTTCTGTCATTCAAAAGAAGAGTAATAATAATATAACAATTCCTTACACTTATATAGCACTTTTCTGGACACTGCGCTCAAAGTGCTTTACAGAAAATGGGGACTCCCCTCCATCACCACCAATGTGCAGCCCCACATGGATGATGCAACAGCAACAGGCCATGAGTAGTAGAGGCCAATGGAAAATTTGGCCAGAGCACTATGGCAACACCCCTACTTTTTTTTAGAAACTTTTTAATGACCATAGAGAGTTTGAACCTCCATTTTACATCTTATCCAATGGACAACACCTTTTTTATAGTATAGTGCCTCCACCTCTGTAACAGGGGCTAGTCCAGGCTCCCACGAAGTGTAGTTCAGGACCCTATGTAGACGGTATAAACCCGAACTAATTTGAGAAGGACAACGGGGAGGAGAAGACGAGGATCAGGATGGGTTGACAGACGGGTGGGCGTGACGATGGTGATCTAGTGCTCGGGGGCCGGATAAAGGCAAACGAGTCCAAGGAGTCCAAGTGTGAAATCCGGGGAGCAGTCCAAAGTCCAAAACCAGGTGATCCATCCAAGACGAGACAAAACATGTTAAGATCCGGAACAGGGACAGGGAATAAAAATAGGATAAGGAGGCCAGGCGCTCTGAGCCCCGGACCCAGATGGTCAGGACACCGTGGTGAGCCTATGCTGTCGGGTCTCTCCTTGACCCGCTTGTAGGCGGGCTTCTGGGCGTCCCTCTTCCAATGCTGAGCCAGGAATAGTGGGAGCGCCAAGCTTAAATACAAAGACAGAACAGGGGGCAGGTGCATGTAATCAACTAAAATACAAGAGAGCCAGAGCACCCTTAAGAGGAGGGATTACAATCATGACACCCACACAGACTGCAGGGTGAGCACTCCTATTGGCCTCACTAACATTACTTCCAGCAGCAGTCTTAGCTCCCATTCAGGTACTGAACAGGCTCACACCTACTGAGCTTCAGTGGGTTACCAGTAGTGATTTGTAGGATGATATGGCTGTTGGCTTAAAGATTGGTCTAGAGTGACTTGAGGACTAAAACAGTGTAGATCACTTGTTAAAATACAGTGTCAACCAAAACAAGCCTTGTGTCTGTTTGCAGTCAGTCCACCTGCAAAGAGGAGGAAGGGAAGATTTTCAGTGAGCAATAATATAAGACTGCAGAATCTGGACACTGGTGTCTCTGCAGCCAGAGGGCGCTCCTACTCTGTCCTGTCCCTAGTTTCCTGCTTTGCTGTCCTTCCGGTTTCCCTCTTTCCTTGGGCTATATATTTCCAGGTCACTTATTCTGCCTCGCTTGGCATTGACGTTCGGATGTCCTGAGACCCGCCTAGCACCAGGTCGCTGCTCCGTCCGTGGGCTGAGGGCATAGGTTTCTATACGGCACTCGAGAACTCTTTGCACTAACGAGCCCGGGCTAACTCCCCGTTCCGCCGCCTCGCATTGGGTCTCTTTCGCTCTCCTGCCTCTCCACGGTTTGTCCCTTCCGACATCCATGACAACTGGCCAGGTGTGAATTGGGCAGTTTGTTTCAAAGTGCAAAGTTTTCCTTTGCGTGAATGAAAATGCTTTTGTGAGTTTCACTCCACATAAATGATTTTTCCCCTTGATCTCTTGAACCACTGTAGTTGAATTATTCTAATTATTGTATTCATTATTCTATGAATTTTTCATCAACCTTAAAAAGCATATAAAACTGGTAATTTTTCAAATCTAGAAAACTGATATTCAGTATAAAACAATCATTTGAAAACCTAATAATGTTAGAATATTTAACAAGAGTACATTCAACATCGAGTAGGTGCAGTATGTGAGTCAGCATGCTTAGGCTACAAAGGGACAAGTAAAGGCACATTCCATGCCGAAGGGTAAAGAAAAGAAACTTTTAGGCTGTGGAGCCTTCTTCAGGTGACAGGGACAGTAGCAAAGTACAGTAGGAGATAAATAAGGCACAGGGCAGAAGACAGAGTAGGTAGCAATGGGCAGGGACCACTGAGGAAATGGGAATATACAGGTGAGAATGGGTGTCCCAACTCTGGGAGCGTTCCTAACCACGTGGGTTTGGATATTCTTTCTCTTTTTGGACTGAATTCGGGTTTTGAGTTATTTGTCGATCTACAGTAACATTAATAGTGTTCAAATGGCAGAGGAGTCTGGAAAAGGGTGGACTGAAAATGAATGCAGAAAAATCTGAAATAATGGTAATGGAGAAAAGAGGAGATACTATGACCAATGTTGAGGAGACAAATGGAGGAAAACTGAAACAAGTTGATGACTTTAAATACCTTGGATCAAAACTGGTAAAGGGAGGAGAAACACTGGAGGCAGTAAAACAAAGAGTGAAAGCTGGATGGAACAAGTGGAGAGAAATAACTGGAATAATCTGTGACAGGAAAATTCCCAGAAAGTTAAAGTGCAAAATGTACAAGACTGTGATTAGACCTGTACTACTATATGGAGCTGAATGCTTGGCAGTTGGAAAGAGGGAAGAGAACTTGATGAGAAGAACTGAAATGAGGATGTTGAGATGGATTCTGCAGATTTCAATGAAGGATAAGATCAGAAATGAATAAATCCGTAGACGATGTAGGGTGGTGGATGTGGTTGAGAAGATGCGAGAGGCGAGGTTACGGTGGTATGGACATATCATGAGGAGGGACGTTGAGGAAGTAACAAAGAGGGTAATGGAATTTGAGGTGGAAGGTAACAGAGGAAGAGGCAGGCCTAGAAAGAGATGGATAGATTGTGTGAGAAAAGATATGGAGGTATGTGAAGTGAGTGAGGAAGATGTGCTCGACAGAGACAAATGGAGAAGAGCAACCAAAGCAGCTGACCCCAGGACAGTCTGGGACTAAGGCTGTGAAAAAGAAGAAGAAGAGACGGTAACATTAATGAAATTACTAATAACTTCTTCCCTTTTTTAAAACAAAAACCAATATTAAGACCAGAAGGGGTTAACTGTAATTTACGATACGCACGTGCTTTACGGCAATGAGATGTGACGTCGAGAAAACCTCTGTCTGAAATCAGAGTTCTGGGGTTGAATTACTTCAGGATCTATCCAGTAAAAGTATTACGTTTCGCTCACCAGAATTGTTATAGTTACATCTTTCACAATGCTTTTAATCTTGTTTACATTGCTCTTAGTTGTTTCTAGCTTTTTAGAGGCAAAGCAGAAAGATTTTTATACTTTTAAAGTAGTGAACATCAGGGGAAAGTTAGTATCCTTGGAGAAATACAGAGGTTCGGTAAGTGCAATGCAAACGTAGATGCTCAGACGTGTGCGAGAAATAGTGACATGCATCCAACATGGTTATTAGTAGTTTGTTTTGCATGAATACAATTAAATTCTAACATGCATGTTTTGAAAGATGTTGTATGCCATTTCTGTGCTTTGGTCTTTATCTCTTAAAATAAAATACTAACCACAATCTGTCTGGAGTTCTGAGTGCCTGTCGTCTGTATACGTGGCAAGTAGTCTGTCTGCAAAACCCAAATTTTGACACGCATACGCGACAGTTTGCATGGCAAATATAAAGTAGAGGGTTAAAGTTATTATGGTGTGGTAATTCAAGGAACATACCTTTTACTAGATACCTAGTAATAAAATGTGCGATTTACCAGAATTACATTTTTAATTTATATCGTAACAGCGCTTGTTGTGCTTTTATTACCAAAAGACTAGTTTTGTTATAAATCGTCGTCTTTTATACATTTTGTATAATCGGCCTTGTAGAATGTAGACCTTTAATTTATTGTATTACTGCAGAGTTATGGGATCTTCATCAGTTAAATGCTTATTATTCAATTTTCTTGTGTTACTTTTGGATTATGTGTAATAAACTTGCACATATAGGCATGATGCTTCAGCTTAAATTAACTATCTAATGCACACTTCTGTTATTCTAATAAAATCACTTAATAAGTGAATGCCTTAATTTACTAACTTTTAAGTAATTTGAGTAGTATATATAAAGTCATAAGTGTCTAACCATATTAGGAGATACAAAAATGTATTTAAGGGTAACAGCACTCCATGTAGCTTGTGTACTATGGCATTTAAATCTTTAAATAGAATCAGAAATAGAATGAAATACTTGTATCACCAGGGGGAGCCATTGATTCACATTTGAATCACCGTAGTCCGTGTACTGAGATTAAATCCTCCAGAATGGAGCTCATAAATAACAACAATAACTGTTGAGAAATATGAGTTACACTAGTTAATACAATTACACCACACTAAAAACTAATAAAAAATGTAATGATTCTAATATAGTTCAGGTGGGTAGCTGCGTCAGCATGCGTAGGCTGCAAAGAAACAAAAAAAGATTTATTCCATGCTGAAAAGAGAAGAAAGAAAACACAACATTTCGGCTGTGGAGTCTTCTTCGGGTGTGAGGGTGATTGTAATATATATGGCTTTGTATAAAGAAAGTCTTATCTACCAGCTGCTGAAATTTACGTAATACAGAATTTAGCAGATCACTTGTGTTCGCTGATGGTTCTTACTTGCTTTTATACAACCAGGTGAGCTAAAGAAATGCAGGTAAACTATTTTGCTTTAGGGAACAACGGAGGTGACCATAGCAGGAACAAAGACCAAGATCTTGCAGTCATGAGATCAGTGATTTAATCATAACTTCATACATTCCCTAATACAACTGTTTAGATGGGTAAAAAAAGTGGATCTCCTGGAAAAACAGCAGGGATAGTCCTGTAACTGGTGAATCACACCTCTGTGACAATTAAAGCAGGCCTTTTTTTAACGGTAGACATCACATTTGAAGTGAATAAGTGACCATACCTTTTTAATGACCAGATATTTTAGTATAATTCTGCAGAACATAAGTGTTTAATACTGTAGATGGTTTAAGGTTTTATCACATGCAGTTCCATATTAAAATACTTTCTTTAAAGTCGTATTTAGGTAACAGTGTCAATGCTTTTGTCATTGGCTGTGAGTGAAGAAAAAATACATTGAGCTATCATCATCAGTTTTCCAAAGGTAAATAGGAATGTAAGGCAGAATGCCTGGATCACCTATCCCCACTCTACTGTACATTGAAAGGGACATCTCCCATTAAGCCAAGACTAGCCACACTGCCTTCTGTCTGCTGTAGACTAGTTCTGCCTTTGAGGTAGTATTAAAACATTAGAGACAGTAACTTCTGAATATATGGAGTACTTTCCAAAAATTCCAGCCCAGCCCCTTAAAGTCACAAAATTATGCATCTGCATTTTTTTTAAAAACGTGAGTTCTTTGTACAAAACCTGAATGCTTATACAGAAGCATTCAACAAAAGTCATTTGTCAAGAAAAACTAAAGAAACAAAAAAACAAGACTCAACTTTTGGTAAAAGCATCTTCAGTAATAGTTAGAACTGCAAATGTTTCTGGGTAGGTACTAACTTTGCACACTGGCATGGTGCAATTTTTACCTGTTCTTTTTGGCAGATTGGCCCAAATTCTCTCTCAGCCAAAGTAAAAAAGGTGCATTTTTGACTAGTTTAAGGTCTGAAGCAGATCATTTGCCAATACTTTGCTCTATTTATGTTATCAGCATTCTCGAGACGCTTCCCAGTTCTAGCTGAGGAGAAGCCGAACTATAACATACTGCTACCACCACCATGCTCGACTGTAGGGATGGTTTAGACTGAATGATGCAGCATGCAGGGTTTGTGTAGACTAAAAATGATCTATTTATCATGCTCAAAGAGATATTAGGGTCTTTGAAATTCTTTATACCATTTTGCCTAAACAATATACAACTTTATCCCTGAGTTATTTTGATGGCGTCTTGGCCTTCATGGTTGAATCTTTGCTTGAAATTGACTGCCTAACCATATTTTACACAGACAGAAGCCACTCAGCTAATAAGGTATTTTTATGTCCCTAAATTAATTTAGGTTTGTGATTGGATTTTCCATTTTTCTTTCATATTATCTTTTGTTTTTTCTTTGAATGTGTGGAGTGGGTTATATGTATAACAAAAATTGTTTATTCAAAGTATCACGACTGTAAGTTAAATGCAACACAATGTGAAAACCGTCCAAGGGCATTTCTTGGCATTTTTAACCCTAACATAATAGAACAATTTTCACAACTGATACCCTTGGTAAAGGCAAAACAAGCCATAATTTCAAAAAAATATCACCATTGTGGAAAGAACAACAGCCTCCTGTTATGGTTTGTACCCCCCTCCCCCCTGCTCCCCCCTCTCTCAGCTCTCAAACCAAAATGGCTGCCTTCTCTGCTTTTGTGTGCACGTGTGGGAGCAGGTGTCCCTGGTGGTGAACGTGGCAAGTGAGTGTGGCTTCACGGACGAGCACTACAAGGAGCTGCAGGAGCTGCAGAGGAATTACGGGCCCTACCACTTCAATGTGCTGGCCTTCCCCTGCAACCAGTTTGGCCAGCAGGAGCCTGGCAGCGACAAGGAGATCGAGAGCTTTGCCCGCAGGGTCTACAGTGTCTCCTTCCCCATGTTCAGTAAGATTGCTGTGGTTGGGACTGGGGCCAATAACATTTACAAGTACCTGGCAGGTGAGTGAAGGGAAAAGTACACCCTTTGGCACAGCCAACTTTCTTTTATGTGTGTGATCTGATGTCCTAACACTAGGATCTTAGAGGCCATTTCTTTGTGCTAAGGTTTTTTTTTATCCTACTGACAACATCTGAAAGAAAACCACCTCCAAGGAGCTTTGGTAAAAAAATCTGCAATTGTATAAAAGACATTACCTTATCACGCAAAGATATTTGCAGGAATGTCTTTGACAGATTCAATAACATTAACCTCAGAGAGCCTGGTGGAAAATGAATAGACATGTACAGTTCCCACATTATTCACTTTTTATCCTGTTTTCCCAGATATTTTGTTAGTTTTGCCTTTTCTTTATTGTTAAGTAATATTATATCTCTCAGTTATCAATCTGGGCACTACGACGGCAGGCGGAGCGATGCATCGGTTGGAGTATTTCTCGGTCGCAGTTAATTGCAACGTCAGCTCAAAGATTTGGTTCAAACCACCAAATGGAGACTGGTGTGCCGACAAGCAGACCCTGCTGATGCGGGATTGATGCTAGGAAAGAGAGAGAGAGAGTTATCAATCTGGGATATAACAGACCATTACCCCCAAGGGCCAAAATGCAAAAACATATCTGAATGAAGCCATTTTACAACCACTCGGTTTTGTAATGTTTTAGAAATAAACCTTTATTTATATCTAAATTAATTAATGAATATATTTATTTACATCTGTTCACTTGCTTTAAAACTTGTGTACAATTGGTAAGATTAATAGGCAAAAAAATCAAGATTTTGCTTTTAGAGTCTTTTATCCACTTAAATTAACTTAAATTTCAACTTTCAGAAATGTTTATCTTTTTTGTATTAGTAAATAGTTAATAAGTAGTTAATTACTAAATAAATTAGCCATTCATTAAAAGTACTGTATGATTATATACTGCTTCAGTGTTGCCTGAACGATCTTATTTCTGTTTTATTCCTGCAAGTGACAATTCCTTTATTCTTTATCAGAGTCTTCAGGAAAGGAGCCAGACTGGAATTTCTGGAAGTACCTGGTGGACACCAATGGGAAAGTTGTGAACTCATGGGGGCCCAGTGTGTCCATTAGAGAAATCAGGCCATACATCTCTGACCTTGTGCGGCAGATCATCCTGAAGAAAAAAGATGAACTTTAGAAGTAATCTAAGATAACTATCATTTAGCCAAACTCTACTAGAACAACACCCTATCCCAGCACACAACAATGGTACAAACACACAAACTAAAACCTACACAAACTTTTAAGTGGCATTCACTGTTCTTTCATGAACAGTATTCAGCCTCATACCATTTGAAATTGATCCAAGAGAACATTTCTTCTTTGAAGCACCTGGTGAAATGTGGAACTAGATTTTGAGATAGTACACAGACATCCCACCCTTTTGATTGAATGATGCCCGCAAATTATTTTTTCATTTTTTGCAATTCAAGACACTGGAGTTATATTATGGTGCTTTTATGGTTTAGACTTATGTTCTCATTCTTTACAGTTTACTGGACTGAGAAAAGTTAAAACTGAGCATTTGTTTGACACGTGCACAGCTTCACATTTTGGTTTTTCTTGGTACGTATGTGTGGACCAATAAACCTTTTTTATATAAATTTAGTAGCCTCCTTTTTAAAAAAAAATACATTGAACCTGCTGGAAGTCAACATCAGAGTACGGAAGTACAGAAAATGCTAATATCAATCAATTAGAGAGAAATGACCTCAGAAGCATTTTCATAAAATAAGCAATGTTTTAAATTAGGATTAAGTTGCATGTGTGATTTCAACATAGTCATGCAAGCATCCCACAGCGTCTAAAATATTGAGGAAAGCCATTAGATGATGTCAATAGACACAATAGATGAAAAGCCTGCTTTAGTGCCCCAAAATGAGCCTTTACTAGTCTATGATGAAAATATCTAAAGTCCAAAGATAAAACGTATCCTCCTTATCTGATTTACGTATTTAACATATCTGTGTGATCTAAATTAGTACATGAGTCATTGCCAATTCACAACTATATGCTGCTATCGCTAACAATATAAGGCATAGGAGCTTGTCAACACCAGTGTTCAAGGCAGAATATTGCCAAGTACTGTTTTATATGAAGGGTTTCTGCTGGTACTTCCTCAGTCTATTTGCTTTTTAATCCGCTTCAATTTGGTTTATTTTTATTTGGATAAACAAGCATGTCACACAACACCTACTTTAGACATGCAGGAAAATTCAGATTATACATACATTGAAAGACTAATAAATGCTCTAAAATACGTAGTGCTTTGGGAATATTCTGCTAAAAAGGTTTATAAAACATTAAAAACAAAATTAGCTATGGGGATAGATGTTTAAATTGCCATTTTAACCCTGTGCCTCTAGGGGTCAGTATAGGCAGTGGGGTTCAAACTGGCCAGCCATTTAACCATTTTCAAAAAGCAACTTAATACAATAATATTGATAATTAAATAAAACAGGATCAGGGTGAGTTGGGGCATAATCCTGTAGAGAATAGGTACAAGGCAGGATAATGCGCTCTGGATGGGATACTGGTCCATTGCAGGACAAACTCATGAGGGACGATTTAGAAATGCCAGTTCCCAGCATGTCTTTGGACTGCAGGAGGAAATTGAAGTACTCGGAGCTCACCCATAAGGCCACAGAGAGAACATGCAAATGCTACAAGAAGGCTGGAATCGACCCCACTGTGCATCCAATCTAATCAATAGACACCTAATTCCATTGAACCGTCTGACTAGAAAATACCACCTTAATTATGAGGAATGATTTCAGCCGTGGACAGAAAGGTTCTATGTATTCCACAGACTCTGTACTTTATGTGTGATTATCTCCTTGTCTGCTAGCTCAGAATCAAGTGTTGCTGGATTTTTTTTTCACTGAAAATAGCTCTGAACCCACAACTGAAAGGTCTGTTCATTTGTTTTTTGTCTCAGCACTGTCATTATCGGTTATATTATTCTCCTGCGCCTCGCCTTGATGTTCATTAAAAATCAGGATGCAATATGCAAAAGAAATGACAGTGGAATTTCTTTCAAGGAATTTAGTTGAAATGCCAAGAAGAGCTATTTCATTAAGTCTGAATTAGTGTTTCTACCCAAAACACTATAATGGTCGATACCTGAAACCAGACCAGATTACCCAAACGACAATGTTGAAGAGCAAAAGCTATTTATTGTGTGCATGCATTTTATTCAAATACAAGTGACATGGGCATATTGTAACCTTGTTTATTTTGACATCATGTTCATAATTCCATACATCTAATCTTGGTCCTGGTGGGTTGGAGTGCTTACAGGTTTTAAGTACAGCTAAAAGCATGACCACTCCAGGACTCGCTGGTAGGTGGGCTTCCAGGCTTCCATCTTCCAAAGCTGAGCCCAGAATGGTAGGAGCATCTAGCTTTTATAAGGAAGGGCTGGAACAGGAGGCAGGTGCAAAAAATGAACAGAAACAAGAAAGAGCCAGAGCGCCCTTAAGAGGACGGACTTACGATCGTGACATTTACCTGCTTCTCCCAGGCCTTCAGGTACTGGTGCTTGAAAGAGATCTAGAAAACCTGCAGTGACACCGGCGCCCCAGGACCAGGACTGGGGTCTCCTGATCGAAACATGGGTTGTATAAAATCTATCAAGCAGTTGCATTTTTTAATTTAATGAATTACTGTATTGTGTACAGGTATTGGTGCTAGTAAAAGGGAAAAAATGATCTGCTAGCAACAGCTTGTTGCTTTTTTTGCTGACCAATTTTCAAAATTTATTTTAAGAAGGAAATGACTGTATTTGACAAGCAAGAAAAAAAAATAAGAGGAGATCATTTTCTAAAAATTATTTTCTAAAAATGTACCCATAGAGAGAAGGACCATCTTTAACCAACGTATCTTTTACTCAGGAAACCCAAGTTCCCTAAAAACAGAATAGCACGCTCTCTCTAGCAAGGTTCAAATACTTAGCTTCAATCAGGATTTGCTTGGATGATCATGAAGTAGGGGCTCTCGCCTGGCATAAGCTTCAAATTCCAACTCCTCCTGACTCTCTTGTGGTCTGATCTCCTTTCTCCACTTTTGCTCTATTGTCCTTTTTTCTCCTAAATTTGATCTTATATGATGTGTTTCTGGACTGCTCATTGCCAATCATTTACCCACAACTTAATTAACTTGGTAAACTTTCCAATTGTTTTTGTTCAGGGGATCTCCTACAGTACACCTCAGCAAATATCCTCTCTGCCTTAAAGCTGGTAATATTCACACTGCCAGGTGTTACAAATGTTATCTTAACTCTTAGAAACACTTCCTAGTCACCTACAGCTGTTACATAACATAACATTAGTCCAAATTCTATGATTTTAACTGTAACTATGTCATCTTGTCATCTTATTGCTACATTTGAATATTTTGTACTGTATCCCAGCAATTATTGCAACATGCACTCTGTGAAGACGTTTACAGAAGTATTCACTCTCCTGCACCAATTTCACATTTTGTTGCCACCTGAGTTTCACAGGACAATCAATTCAGACTCTGCACATACTGCTCAAAATTGATAAATAAGCAGAATATAGAATATAATTAGGATTGATGTAGAATACAGTTAGGGCTATAATTAGGATCATAATTAGGATATAATTCTCTTAATTAGGATTAAGAGAAAACAATATTGGTATACTTTTTTAGGAGCTCTCAGGAAGAATGCCCTCACAGGCTCAGATCAGAAGCCCAGGCTATAAAAAGTAATGTTCAAAACATGTTCCTACACATTGGAAAGGCATTAGACTGATTATTAAAACTTCATAGCAAATAAAGCTTATTTTTCTTCATGCAAAGATCATGCAATTAAATGGTTTGCTAAGAGTGATTAATTCATCATCAGATTTTAATACTGAGAAGGAATCAATTGCTTAATAATACTTCTGAGCCTAAATAACAAATCCATGTAAGCAGTAATTTACATTTATACTCAAATACAGCACCTCCCATAACACTTTGCGACTTGACAATTTTTGCCTTTTAACAATTTCCACCTTTTTAAATACCTTAATAGCCTGATGAGTTATAGCAGCAAAGTCAGAGTGAAAGCAGGTTTTAGCTCAAGAAAACCTTTTCTAAGTATGATATAACAGTACCCCAAGGGCTAAACAAATCATAAATGAATGTGTACATATATAATGAATGCCTACAAGTAATATTCCAGGCTAAAGTGGTTAATGATGTCTGTTGGATGATCCACAAAAAATTAATAATTCTCCCTAAAGTATATAACATTTTTAATACAGTTTTTTTTTCATTTTTTGTGATGCTGAATCTGTCCCAGGTGCCATGGCACCTCATTGACACGAGGAACTAATGTTTCTAATGAACAGCATACAAACAGCATGTTTGACTGATTCATCCTCCTGTTTTGACAGGGTCAGGTGACCTTTACAGCTGATTGCAGCAGTGCGTGATAAGTCATTTTAAAGATGTAGTCTTTGTAGGATTGACCACATTTTCACCAAACCGTGTAACCAAGGCTCATAAACTCAATTCTTACAGGCCTTGTATTGTCTGATTTTTGTTTAGTCTGAGACATTATAGTTGATGCCTGGTCAACTATGGTGAGCTCTGAGCTCACCATAGTTGGTCTAATTATTTATCTGTGTCATTGGAATTCTTCTGTAAGGCCTTGAAGCATTTTCTAAAAGTAACTGTACCTTTAAAAAGTGAATAATATCTGAATAATCACTTATGGAAAGTCTTAAGATATTTCTTAATTTACAGTATGTCTAACTAAAAAAATAATTTATTTTTCTTTCTTTGAGTATTAAGTATGATTAAAGCTGAAACTGAAGACACTATTAGACCTGAATGCGAGACCCTTTCTATAAACCCAATCATTTTGACAGGAATGAAGCAATCTTGTATAGCCATTTCCTACACTGTCCTACAGGTGCCAACTTTTGAGAGTAGAGATGGCAAAGCAAAATATGTTTGAATTTAATATTCTCCCGTCAAGATTTAAATGTTCTGGTGGGTTAGGAAATGTCTAAAATGTTGCCTAGAATATCGGACTAGGACATAATGAAAAGTATTCATTAATTAGATATATCACATGTACAGAATTGCTTTTTGAATATAATCCAATAAGCATAGTTTTGTGTAGACAAAGGCACGACACATAAAAGTTGATGATACAAACTGAAATAGTTCAACACATAGAAACGTTTGGTGTTTACTATCACGTGGGAGGGCTGGCAAGTAATATTCTTTCTCCTATTATTGTACACTTCACAAACGCAACATTCAAACATAACACATACTGTAGGTTCATTCCAATTGTTTCATACAAAAAAGTAAATAGACACTCAAAATACAACATGTGAAAATATAACCTGTACTATATCACTGAACTCTGGAACTGAATATTGAGACAACAAATTTTGAATGTTTATAAAAATAAGGAGTTCTTTCAATAGATATTTGCTCCAGTACAAAATGTGTTCCATTTATTAAACATGATACTTTCAAGTGGAAAAGAAGAGATTATTCTTTTTCTTTGGAATATAGAGCAAAATGCTTTGAAAATCCACCTGTAAATGCCATATATCTACCTTTGGTGATTATTGGC